CGTCACATTATGTATTTTCGCGTCATTAAAAATCGTGTCCATAAACCACCTTTGTATACATACTGAAAATCAATTAAATACACAGGTTGAGACTGTTAGTATCAATTTTTAAACCTCCTCCTTTTCATTCGAGGCATTTCCGTAGGCGATTTTGCAAATAAAGTATAATCCTCTTTAGAGGCCTCCACTTTGCTTTTGCTGCAAAAACAAAACCATCTCATATACTTTGAAGCGTAAATAGTGGCTGTTAAAATGACCATCATGAGCTTTTTCTTGTTGTATGTTAAACATATTTATCGATAGTTTTAACCTCCTTCATAAATGTCACAATTGACTTGGAGGCGTTTATTCCTACTATTGGTTAAAACCAACCACTTAACGGTGCCAACTGTGGTGGTTTTTGAACTATCACCTGAAGTAAATGAAGGCGATTAAAATTGCCTCTGTTCTGCATAATAATAACCCCAAATTACCCTTCTTCTTATAGTGTTTAACTTTCTTAGAGTAGTTGTTGCGGGATTCAAAGTATGGTGTTTTATGCCATTAGATCAAAAGCCCAAGAAAGAAGATCATGAATGAAAGCATTGGTGAAGTTAAATCAAAGGAAGAAGGAATGAGATGGACCTGAGAAAGAGAGAAAATTATCAAGAAATCACTAAATTTTCTTTTTTTACTATTCTTTGGTTACCTTTACTACAAGTTGAGTGAGTGGTTATGACAAAATTAAGCGAGAAACTTAAAAGTCGAAGAAAAGTTAAATATTTTGAATCAATAAAAAAGAAGAAGAAGAAAACACACAATACTAACATAAATGACATCATACAATACTAACATAAAATACAATACATAATTTCCAACATATATTCATGCTATGCAATTGTGTATCTTAATCATAATAGCGCTCACTCACCTTGATGGTCTCTTAACCAATCTTTTGGGTCATCGTGCTTGTAAGCCCACAATGCACCCTTAACGTAATTGCTTTCTTTCATTCTCATATAATGTTGTCACCTCGAACATTCAACCATCTCAGCCTTCTAATGTTAGCCTTCTCTCATCACACCCATCCCAAGTCATAAACTCACCGTCTTTTAGCTTCCTTTTTGCCATAACAGTTTGCTTCCTAAATCTTCCACATGTGACTCGTGTGTCATTCTCATCCACCAAAACCACCAAATTTGTGACTTGTGAGTGTTATTTTCTTCCATGAACCTAGATCCATTTCTCAACCCTTAGATACGTTAAATTGTGATATACTATTATCCCTTCACCACTATTCTACCATTTTTGCTGTGAATGACGCGTATCCTTTATCGGAATCGCTTCTCATTCACCAGGAGTCATAGTGAAATGATCTCTCTAACTTAATGATGAGTTCTCTTAACACACTTATACTTCTAAGGTTAAACAAAACTCCAACCAAAACATTATCTCTGTCTTTATTTTTTGGATTTCTCCACTAATTCATCAAAAACTCGATTAATTAAATTTGAACTTTATTACATCCATATAGTGGTGACCGATCACGATCGTCTCCTTTACATTATTCATTATGATCATTATTTTTGCATATTGTGTTTGGATCACGTTATGGAAGTATGATCCCCTGGAAATTTAAGGTCTTCGAATCCCAGTCATAAACCTCACAATGAAGCACCCGGATTATCTCATTGACGACCTTTTCCTTCACCTCAATCTTAAACATTTTGATGATTTCATGAAGATTTAAAAATTATGTCTATGTTTAATTATTCATTGACAACTTTTATGTTTTTTATTCATAGATAACACGGATAATTATGTATTGAGTTGGAGTCTTGAATGAAGTGAGTGTTTCATTTGACCATATGTTGTTCTATTTTTTTTCATGGATTGTCTATTTTGCCAAAGATAACATCGATTGGGTTGATGATAATTGTTAACAACTACTACGAATTTATACAATTTTAGATTGGTTATTAACTTTCGAAAAATAATATCATTTTATAAAATGGATGTTTCTTTTAAAAATGTTAAACTATTGTAATTCAAGGCAGTTATTTTTAACCATCGTGTTATGCATTTCATGTCCTTAAACCATAGCGTTTATGTAAACCACCTTTGTATACATACTCAAAATCATTGAAATACACAGGTCGAGAATGTTAGTATCAATTTTTAAACCGCCTCTTTTTCGTTTGAGGCATTTCCAAAGGCAATTTTGCAAATGTCGCATAATCCTCTTTAGCCTCCGCTTTGCATTTGCTGCAAAAATAGAACCACCTCCATATACTGTGAGGCGTAAATAGCGGCAATTAAAATGACCGTTGTGAGATTTTCCTTGCTATATGTTAAAGATATTTATTGATAGGTTTGACCGCCTTCATAAATGTCACAAGTGACTTTGAGGCGGTTATTCCAGCTATTGGCTAAAATCGACCACCTAACGATGCTAAATGTGATGGTTTTTGAATTATAATCTAAAGTAAATGGAGACGATTATAATTGCCTTTGTTCTCCAAAATAAAAGCCCCTTATTACCATTTTTCTTATAAAGTTCTAAATTTCTTAGACAAAGTTGTTGCAGGATTCAAAGTATGGTGTTTTATGCCATCAGTTCAAAAACCCAAGAAAGAAGATTAAGACTGAAAGCACGAGTGAAGTTAAATAAAGGGAAGAGGAAATAAGATGGACCAAAGAAATAGAGAAAAATATCAAGAAATCGATAAATTTTCTACTTTACTATTCCATGGTTTCCTTTAGTACAAATTGCATGAGTGATTACAATAAAATTGAGCAAGAAACTTAAAAGTCGGGGAAAAGTTAAACATTTGTATCACAACATAAACAAAATATACAATACTAACATAAATGACAACATACAATCAGTGGCGGAGCCACGTTGAGACCAATTGAGGCCTTATTACTGGGTGGTTTTCAAAAATGGTGTAAGTTCTCTTTAAATATTATGGTACAACCTTGGCACTGGTTGGGTTATACTTTGCTAGATGTTTTGGCACGAGCTAAAATTATATCCCGGTTCTGACACTGCATACAATACTAATATAAATTACAATACATAATCTCCCACATATATTCAGACTATGCAATTGTGTATCTTAATCACAATTGGGCCTACCAACCTTCATGGTCTCTTAACCAATCTTTTGGGTCGTCGTGCTTGTTGGCCCACAATGTAGCTTAAACCTAATTCCTTTCTTTCATTCTCTTATAATGCCGTCTTCTCGAACATTCTACCATTTCACCCTTCAATCTTCAACCTCCATCCTTTTCTCATCACACTCATCCCAAGTCTTCAGCTCACCATCTTTTTGCTCCACATTTTCCTTCCTAAGTCTTTAACCATGATTTGTATTGTATTGTTTTCTTATGTGACTCTCAATCACTTTCTCAGCCCTTAGATCTGTGAAATCGTCAGAGACCTCTTAACCCTTCACCAACAATCCATTATCGTTGTCGTGAGATACATTCACCCTTAACCATTATCACTTCTCATTCAATCGGGGTGGGTCATAGTGAAACACTCTCTAACTTATTGGTGAGTTCTCTTAAGTGCTTTTACTTCCAGGTATAAATAAAACTCCGACCAAGATATTATTTCTTTTTATTTTTTAGATTTCTTTATAGATTCATCATATACATAATTAATCTGATTTGAGATCTGTTAGATCCATATAAGGACGATTCTTCGACCACAATCTTTGCCATCCTCAGGTACTCTTGAACTCTTAATTTCTAAAACATGATTTTCTTTCCCTTCCATCATATCTACTACAAATTCAAATACACCCTTAATAATTGTTTACAAATCCATTTGTCATATATTAATTTTAAATATATTATTTCACTAAAAATCTAATTTTTATAATAGGAAATCTCATATGTAGTTTAGTAAATTGCTTTTTTTTTTTGGTATGGAGTAAATTGCTTTTAATTAAAGTTTGATTTCATTCTTTTTTAGATTAATATTATTTTAAATAATGTCTAATTTTATAATATTACCTTATTAAAAAAGGGGACAGATATACTTAACACCAAAAATTTTTATCATTCTTACAACCAATTTAATCACCGTTGATTTTCGTTAATCTAAGGGTTATAATTTATTGAAATTAATAATTAAAAATAAGTGTGACCCAATAAATTATAACCGCTAGATTGGCTGAAATCAACGACAATTAAATTGGTTGTAAGAGTGGTAAATTATTTTGCTGGTAAGTGTATCCGTTCCCATTAAAAAATTAGATTTCACGCAATTATTGTTTTTTAATTACAATGATGTTGAAATTTTAAACAAGACTTAAATGTAAGCTCTTAGAACCTCAATAATAACATTTTTTTTAAATTTTAAAATAATATATATCGATACCTTTCAAATAAAACCGTCAAAGTTCAGAAACCAATTCATTTATGACTACCATTTATAAAAAAAAAAAAAAAAAATATATATATATATATATATATATATATATATATATATATATATATATTCATTTATGACTTCCATTCATAAATGTAATCTATTAAAACCTCATTAATACCTTCCTTCTCATAAATATTAAAAAATCTATATCTGTATACAGTGAGTAAAACATTCAAAGTCCAGAGATCTATTAAAATATATTTATGACTACCATTTATGAAGTTCCCTTATTTTCTCTATTCTAACATTCCATAAAAAATAATTCCATTTATTTCCAAATAACACGACGTTTCATTTTCCAACCTTAGAAAATTGCAAATTTCAAATTGGGACCCCAAACTTTCAAATATTTTTCACTTTCTTCCCTCTTCCCGCCACCCCATCATCGAAGGAGGGAAACAATAGTTTCCCAAAAACAAAGGCTTATTATTAATCTATTCATTCTCATTCTCACTGTGTCATAATTCAAAAGTTTAGTTCAAAGTCACTATATCTCCATTTCATGATACACTGATATTTATACTCGTTTGTTTTGACTTGGTTTTGGTGTTTATGTTCTTTCAAGCAACGTTAAACAATGTTGGCTCTTCCATCAATCTCCAACACCAACGCGGGAACCGAATTGTCTCCACAGCAGCAACAAAATGGTAGCGAAGTTGATGTCAGTGGGAAGAAAGAAAAACGCAGTGGAATTCGAGTAGTTGGAAACAGAATCTATGATTCTGCAAATGGAAAAACTTGCCATCAAGTACTTTTTTTTTTCCTGAGTTTTTATGAATACCCATTATGTTTTTTTCTGTGTTTTTACGTTATGGAGTGCGTTGATTTGTGGAGAGAGCGAGATTCCAATGTGGGTATATGAGGGAACGTGGAAATTATGTGAAAAATTGGAACTTTCATTGATGGGGTTGAATAAACGATGTTAATGGGTTTACTTTTAGTTTTTCTGGTTTGTTTTATGTTCATTTTGATGATAAATATGTCTGCTTGAGTTTACTCGTTGAAGTGCTAGTGGGTTTAATTTTAATTATTAATCTGTTTGATAAAACTGTTCCTTCATGACCGAAAAGTTATGGGTTCGAATTCAGTAAACAGCCTCTTTGCAATTATGCAAGGATAAAACTGCATACAAAAATTTCCTCCAACCTACACTCGCTAGTCGAGTTTAACGGGGAGTGGTTTTTTTAATCTGTTTGATGCAATTTGTGTGCGTCTTTGTTTCTGGTTTCTTAAGTTCATTTTAATGATAACTCTGTCTGCTTGATTTTACTTTTTTGAAGTGTCGCCAGAAAACTAGGGATTTTGCTGCTGCGTGTAAGAATCTGAAAAATGGCAAGCCTTGTGTCATTAAGCTTTGCCACAAATGCCTCTTGAACAGGTTAGGTTCAGCGATATAAACATTGTTTATTTTTCAGAAATATTCTATAATGTTAAGAGTACAAAGATAGAGTAATGTATATTTGTACGTGTTTTTTTTTTTTTTTTTCCTGATGAAGATTGTATTGTGTTCATGTGTTGAATTAGATATGGGGAGAAAGCAGAAGAGGTAGATATGGTGAGTGATTGGAAATGTCCGAAGTGCAGAGGCATTTGCAACTGTAGTTGTTGCATGTAAGTTGTTTGTGTTTTGAGAAGTTTTTTTTCTTTTATAATAATTTTGTACCATTTGTGTGTTAATTTTGAAACAAGAGTAATCTTGTAGGAAAAGACGAGGTCAACAACCTACTGGTGCTCTTGTGCATGTAGCCAAGGCATCAGGATTTAAGTCTGTATCAGACATGCTTGCAAAAGCTTCTGAAAATTTGGAGCCTACAAAAGAAGCTACTTTAGAAAAGGTGTGTTAACTTTCTCCCCTTCCCACATATCCTGTGCTTGACATATTTTTACCAGTTTTTACCTATATGGGCTGGTTGATGAAGTTTAACTATTGATGACAGGAGCAACAATCTATTGATAACTCAGTTCATGATAAGGTTCTTATGAATAAAGCTGCTTCACCTCTAAAGTCAATTGTACCAGACAAGGTTCGATTATTTTATTTCATTTGTTTGGAGATATTGGTAGATAGGCCACGTACAATGATTGTTCTCACTCTTACCCTCGCTAGTTGGGATTTAATAGGGAGTGGTATTTTTTAATTTTAGATTTTGTTTAATGTTAATGTTTGTTATCTTCTGCAGGAATTTTGGAAGGAAAACACTTTAGATGGAAATAGTAGTTTAAAGCTTGAGTCTCTGAAGGTTCAGAAGACATCACCTCAGAAATCTAAGAAAACAAAGAGGGAAAGATTAAAGGAAATATCAAATAGCAACAGTGTTGACGATGCTTGCCAAATCAAGAGCCTTAAAATGCCTAAAATTTGTAATGAAGTTCTAGAGGATGAAACAAAAGGAAATGCAAATGATGGCATTAAAGTTTGCAATGAAGTTTCTGAAAAGGAAACAAAAGTAGATCGGAACCGTGATATTGTTTATGCAAACATGGATGGTCCCGAGACTTGGGCTGCCAATGATTTTTGCCTCATTCCTATTCTAAGGGATGAAAATAGGTGCAAAAGCATTATTGTGATAGATGATGATGATGGTGATGATGATAATGCTGAAGTCAAGTCTCAAACAGCCATTACTGTTTTTCATGGAGTATCTGAAAAGGAAAGGGAAGTAGATAGGAACCATGCCGCGGTTCATGGAAATGGTCCTGAGGCTTGGTGTGCTAATGATTTTTTCTTCGACCCCAAGACTTTGAATTCAAATGATTTTGTCGTCAATCCTAATCAACAAGTTCAGAAAAAAATTTGGAACAACACTGTAGTCATAGGTGATAATGATAATGCAGGTGTCAAGTCCCAAATGGGCATAGCAAAGTTTCAACAACTCAGGAAATTTATTGTGAACTCAGAGAGGGAAAAAGAAAAAGTTCAGGAAGAAATTCCTTTGCCACCTGGCACTGAGTTAACAGACATATTGGACATTGAGTTTCCACCTGAAGATGTTGGGAATGCATTGCAGTTTTTAGAGTTTTGCAGAGTGTTTGGAAAGGTATGCCTTCTTGTTTACAGCATTAAGAATTATTGGCTGTATGGCATTATGTGGTTTTGACATTGGATTTTCTCTTAAATCTTTTATTAATTGCATTTCACTGCTTCCTGTAGTAGTAGACCAACTGAATATAGATTATTGGCATATTCTTTTAGTGCTGTAGAATCCCATTGTTAAGAACTTTGAGCTCACCGCCCCAAAAGCTAGCTCAAAGGGTAGGAGTGCTCAAGACCTTATAAACTCCACATTAGTTGCACATACAACCAAGAGAAAGTGGGGGGCGAGGCTCTGATACCATGTAAAGAACCTTGGGATACACTACCAAAAAAACTAGCTCAAAGGGTGGGAGTGCCCAAGACCTTATAAACTCCACATTAGTTGCACATACAACCAATGTGGGACTATATATCTCAACATCCATAATACATTACTGTTTTTTATTAATATCATGCAATTTAAAAGTTGCAGATTCATTTTGTAGTTGATCTTTCATAATTGCTTTATCAAGTCTTTTTCACTTAATCAGGCTCTTGATGTCAAGAAAGGAGAAGCTGAAGCTATATTACGAGAATTAATACGTAAGCAAAATTTGCGCCGAGGACAAAACAACTTGGTAATTCAGTTTCAAATTAGAGTGTTGACTCTAATACTCATTGATTCTGGAGAAAAGTAAGTTTATCCTTTATAGCTTTTATTTTTATTTTTTGGAAAATTTTCTTATATATTTGGATTAAAGTTTTCTATCTGGATAATGTTTGTAGGTCTCCTTCCTTGAGTACTTCCAATGGGAAGAATTCATGGTTGAAAGCACTTGAGGATTTAATCACTGAATCTGATCTTGTACTGAAAGAATTTCCATTAGATTGGCTTAAGGAAGGCATTAGCGGATATTATGATTTGGATTTGTCTAAAAAGCTTACTCTGCTGAACTTTCTTTGTGATGAAGCTTTAGGCACTGAGTAAGTTTTCAAGTTCGAGTATTTGCTGTTTTATTGTTTTCTTCTCTTTATTCATCTTTCTTGTGTTTTTTTTTTTTTTAAAGTCATAGTCTTCATTTTGTTTAATGTGGTTGGGAACTTACTTAACATGTTCAGGAAACTAAGGAGTTATATTGATGATCAAAATTTAAGATTTGCTGAAGAAATGAAAGAAGCCAAATCTAAGGTTGCTGCTGCTAAGGAAAAGGTAACAACAAGAAACAAGGTGTTATGTTTTTTGTATATGGATTTACCCTTCTGTTACATTTTGTTCTTAATTGTGTATACTTGTTATCTACAGGAAAGAGGTGTTAAGAAGAAGTTGCAGGACGAGGTAGCCAAAGCTTTTGTTTCCAATGGTGCTCCCCTTTCGATTTCTGAGCATGATGCTCTTGTTTCGAAGATAAAAAGTGAAGCTGCTCAAGCTCATGCTGAGGTGCTTGAGGCACAGGGAACTATTCCTAAAAGTATGTTGTGATGTTTATTAGTTGTTCATATGTTTTAACTAATTTGATGCTAAAGTTTTCAGTCTGATTCACTGAATAATATTTAGATAGTTGTGCAAAGTACTATAATTAAAAAGACTATGTAAGTTACAAACAAGGAATAATTAACACAAGAAAATGAAAAAGAAATCTAGTGTTGATTTTTTTTCATTACACTTTGGCTTAGGTTAATATCTGCACATATCACAAACATCTTTTGGTATTTCATATACACTTATAATAATTACATTTGCATGATATACTGATATCCTAGGGTACTTAGTTTACATCTTGTTTCTTTTCTCAGAAGATAGCATTTTCTTACTCGTCATCTTGTATGATTTTCCAATTCAGTTGGCTTAAATTCATCAATTTCTTATAAGAATGTGGTTGTTGCATGAGCAGTTATTTTTAATAACACCCAGACTGGGACTTACTTTGGTAAATAAACAAATGCACTTATTGAGGCTAAAGCCCAAAATAGAAAATGTTTATGTATGATTACTTTCTGACTTGTAAGAGTTTTTTAATGTTTCTGCTATTGTAATGGCTGATATTGTAGGGAAACAAAGTTCTGATGCTACAAGAACCGAGCCTGAGTTTTTGGACTGTAATGGTCAGGCATTTTGGAAATTACAAAGTTACAATGGTGAATATGCTGTTTTGTTGCAAGGTAGTTCTCAAAATGAATTAGCTTGATTTTTGTGAATGATAACATTATGATTTGGGCTCTAGCAAGTTTTCTAAAAGAAAGCAATATACAGATATCAAAATTCAGGATGCAGCTGCTACTAAAGTTGATGAAAGATGGTTTGTGTATGGTCCTGAGAAGAAGGAAGAAATTGATAAGTACATTACCTCAAGGTGAGCTCTTTTATTAAAGTCAAAATGGATTGTTCTTGTTGTTTTGGATTTGATACTTATATTAGAGAATTTGCTTTCTTTATATTTTCTCAAGGAACATGATCATAAAGTAGATTACCAAAGCTAGCTTCAGTGTAAGTGTTGACTCAGTTAATGAGAAAATGATCACCCATTACATGCTAAACATATTTAAAGTGTATAAAATGACCCTTTACATTTTTTCATGCCCCTATTTGGATGTGACTTTTCAATACCATAACCCTACATTTATTGACAATGCTTAAATTGGTAATATTGCAATTATCTATTCTATGATTGATGCTCAACAAGAGCAACTAATTAAGTATATATACACGTTTTTTTTTGCCTTGGTTGCAGGTCTAAAAGACCTAAAAGTCACAAGGTTTCTTACATACTTTCAAATGAAAGCAGTGAAGCAGATATCTAGGATGTTTATGGCTCGTATTGCAATCTTTGATCAGGAAGTTGCTGTTGTTGTGATGTTAGAAACAATCTATTATGTTAAGATTCTGATTTGTGATGTTAGAAACAGATACCAATTTCTTATATCATATTACTGTGGAGCAGGAAGCTGAGGAGATAATCAAGCTTTCTTCTATAGCAAGCTGTATTGAATGGCTTCCAATCTTTTTTATGATAGAAATAAGATACTAATTAGGTTTTAATATAATTACAATTTATAGTTGTTGTTGTTGTAGTACATTTTTCTTTTCTTTTTGTAATGATAGTTCTTAGAATTGGATTGACAGAGCTGTTTGGAAAGAGAGGTCTTCTCATTATTCCAACATAGTTAAATCAATGTAATTCTTAGCATTTTAAGAGAACCTCACATCTTTTGCCTGTTTGACAATTCAAAATCTTGCTCCAATATTTGAAGTGTTGATGTTTTTCAAGTAACATTTGTTGCTATTGATTTTCTTCTTCTTTTTTTAATATAACTAAACACATTTTATTAGATGTAGTCACTTGAGTAATGATTCCTTGTTTAGTAATGCTGGGTTATTATAATGTTGTTATCAATATAAACCCCCCTTTTTTTTAATTAGTTTATTTATTATCCGATTAGTATGATTCGAGTACTATAAATTGGACCATACATTATTTTTGGTAATGTGTAAATTGAAAGTGAAGATAAAGGGAAAGGAAGAAAAATATATCGAAATATCAAAGCATGTTAACTTGATCCTTTGTCAATCCAATTTTGATGTTACAACTGGTTGAGTAGTTCTCTTTTACTTGCTAAAGGAAATGTTGTCCAAGAAAGAGCCTTTGTACTACCAAATTATGATTTTATGCAAAAGTAGTTGCGAAAAAAATTTATCATGACCCAAAATTTGTTGGTTTGATAGTATATTTGTACAATCTTATTTTCTATTATTATTTTAAAGGAGAAAATTATACTTACCATTATTTTAACTTTATTATTCTTACTAGTTATTTGGTTACTATTTGATCAATTTAAAATTAACTGTAGTTAATGTTTTTTCTTTTTCAATCGTTAATTTTAAATTAATCCAACAATATTCAAATACATAATAAGACTAATAAAACTAAAATGATAATAAGTATAATCGTTCATATTCTTAAACGATAAATTACATTTTTGGAACAATTTGACTGAACTTTGAAGTTATCTGCACAAAAGTATTTAGTGCACTTTCTATTGAAAATATTTTTCTTTTATTTTTTCACTTGTAATATATTTGTGAAGAGTTTAAAATCTTGATTCTGAATCCATCTCAAACTTTAGAATAGTCAATAAAAAACCTATAAAATTACTAGAGTATAATCTTAAAAAAAAAATTAGGTAAGATATAAAAGCGATAAAATTCTCTCTATAAATTTTTAAAAGGAAAAAATCTGTTTATAAATATTTTTTATAAATTACACTATGTACTCTCGAAAGTACCTAATGTACTTCCGAGAATAGATAATGGAGTTTATAAACAAATTTTTTTAGAAATATAATCCTTCCCATTTTTAAAAATTACATAACTAGAACACAGACTCAAAATTACGATGATCCACATGCTTATCGGCTGTGAAAAAACACAAATACAATGCTAAATGCAATTTTTTTCTTCAAATTTTGCTTTCTTTTGGTACAAAGTACTTTTACTTTTTTTAAAAACAAAAACTCGCAACTTTTCTCTCTCTCTCTGTTTTTTTTTTTTTTTATACATCTCGCAACTTGTCTCTAACAAGTGAAAACATTGCTGAGTTTAGTTTGAGAAGAAAGAAAATAATTTTGAGGTGGGTGATTTATTAACTGGTTGGGAAATTGGAAAAAAACGTATTAAAAAAATAAAATAATTTTTATTTAAAAAATATGAAATCATTAAAATAAATAGTAGAAGATTAATTTGAATTTATTCATTTATATTTATTTTGTATATTCGAAAAAGATATGTACTAAAAAAAAAAAAAGGATAAATGTGAAAGATAATGAATAAGGACACGTAATCCAAAATTTGACGGTTGAGGAGCAACTACCCTATTTTCTCTTTCTCTATAGTCTGTTTCTGTTTTTGTGTTTATGTGCTCATTCTCTGTGTGCGCGTTCTCTCACTCACTCACAACAATTCACGAAGAGAGCCATTTCTGTGAAAAGCGATGCGAGGCGGAGCCACCGTCTGCTCCGGTGACCGGTTTCTGTATCTTCTTCCACAACTCACCAACTCAACTCGGCCACGACCCGTTTTGGTTCACCTCCAATCGAACGCGAAGCTTTTCCTGAAACCACATGGTTCCAAATTGAGTCTCACTCCTAGAGCTGCTGATTCTTCCACCACAACCACCACCACCACCACCAACAATAACACACTCGTTCCTGACGATGGTTTCTCTCTTGCTAAGGTCTCTCAACCCGGTTTTTTCTTTTTTCTTATTGGACCGGACCTGACCGAAAACCCTAGCTTTTTTTATTATAATAATCTATTACCATTAGAGGATAAGAGAAATGTTAGCAACATGTTGTTTTATTATTCTTTTAAGCATTTTTTAAAAAATTGTATTATGGGGAAGATTATACTACCTTTTAAACTTTTTATTGATGTTTTATGTTGTTTTATTATTATTATTAGGTAAAATTTGATGTTAACGATAGTAATAAAAAGTAGGGTCAGCATAAAATTTTACTTAATAATTGGAGAAAATATTAGGGGAAAAAAGTGTTAAAGAAATTGGTTATTTTAAAAGTTACTGTGTGTCTTTCTCTTTCTACTAGGATTTTTCTCATGTTATTTTAATGACATGAGAGAATCCAAATTAAGAAAATTATTATTGTTATTTATTTATTTTTTGAGAGGGTACGAATGCAATTAATAGGTTAATCTCTTGTGTGTAATGTGTCCTTATTAACCTTTTAGGATCCTTATATATGATATTGCTAACGGTTATAATCATCGTGGGTAGTTATCCTTAGTGCCATTACTAAGATCGTGATAGGGTCCACGTGTGCCACTAAAACGCAGGTCAAGGCCACATTCTGGGCTCCTATACGGTTTCGAGTATAAGTACTAATACTTATCGGTTAAACTCATCCGGGTATGGGCTTTATTTGAGCTCAACTAGGCTCATGTTACAAATCCGGAACAAATAGTAAATAGTTTATCAGACAAGTGTGGATTTCAGTAATTGTTGCTCTTTGCATTTTATATACTAGTATTTTGTGAAGTATTTAATCAACACTGGTTTTGCTCAGAGAAGCAAGAAATGGAATGTTGAATTATTTATGATATGTACTATAGTCTGAAACTATGAATGGATTTGCTTTGTTGAATTAATTATGATATGTACTACACATATTTCAAGAATTGTTCTCTTTTTAAGTGTCTCGTGATAAATGAAATTTGGTAGTGAATAATAGGTGAAATGTCTGTTAATATTCTCCTTCTCATTGAGGGAACTCTTATCTACTGTTGCAACTTTTAGTTCTGGTTCATCTCACTCAGCTTGCTGATTCAATGCTTCATACAGTTATCCTTTTCTTGCCCTCTCTGCATAAAATTTTGTAACTTCTTGTTGGGTTATTTATTATGAGGATGTTGTTTAATGATTTCAGGTTTCATTTGGTGTGGTTGGTCTAGGTGTTGGAGTGTCACTCTTGTCGTGAGTTTTATTTTCTTTTTCACCTTCTGCATTTATATCGTATAATATATCAAGTGCTTGTGTTTCTTATGTTGTTCTTTTGTTTCAAATATACAGCTATGGTTTTGGTGCATATTTTAATGTTCTCCCTGGATCTGGATGGTCAGCTATAATGTTAACATATGGCTTCCCTCTTGCAATTATTGGCATGGCACTCAAGGTGAAGAAAGTTTTATTAATGTGAATTAAGTTATAAGACGGACATTCATCGTAACTATGTTGTGTAAAAGAATCATGTCGGAAGTTCCCCTCCCTAATGTTCATGGTTTTGTGCATTGGTGTTTTAATGGATGCACCTGTGGGTCAGGCACTCTATGTATAATGCTTCATATTTTTGCCATTCGACCTTCTTATTTGCAGTATGCAGAACTGAAGCCAGTCCCATGCCTCACATACTCAGATGCTCAAAGCTTGCAGGAAAAATGTGCAACTCCAATTCTTAAACAGGTAATCTCATCATAGACTCAATTCTTATTGCCGTATATGGTGTCATTTTAAGTGTTTTATGTCATGGGGTTCCTTTTTTTTTTTTTTCAGTTCAAGTAATTAGAAATATGCTATTTATTTTTCTGATCTCTCTCGTTGAAGGTGGTTTCATTGTTTTATAATAATTATACCATGGCAATACCGACTTATTAAAGGGATAACCTTGACATTGCCCATTAAGCAAATCAAATTCAAGATGCCTAACATTTCCCTTTTCACCCATTTATCTAAGAGCAATCAAGATTAGGAAACTGAAGAAAGCAAATAATGTAATGTCTAGGTATTGTCTATTTATATCAAGGGTTAAAATTGCCAATTTTGGCATCTTTCTTCATTAACTTTTGTAATTTCCAAGGTAAAATGGTGTTTTTTAATGTAAATTCTAAAAGGGTTAACAGGTAAATTGGCTAACATAGTTTTTACAAAATTAAAAGAGTAAGGCTGTATACAATCAACCTTCACCCCTACCATCGCAAGTCGGGAAGCCTTGTACACCGGGATTTGCCTTTTATACAAGTCAATCCATTTATACACAATTAAAAGTAGATGGATAAATTGCAGATCAATTTTAGGTTGCAGGGTTTAACCCAGATTCAACTCGTTTTTTAATTTTTACCGGGATTCATATATTGAAAATCCAAACCTTAGAAATGCTCTACATCTACTAAGCGAAATTAGTTCATTCAAGGAAATATACACTTTTATGCATTCAAGATCAACTCCCTCCATGATTTTCAAAATGATTTTTTTTTTAATTATGATTTGACAGTATTTTCATGGTATTTTATATTACAGAATAGAATCACATAATGATTTTTCGTCTATTGCTGTTAGATTCAATCTTTCCTGTAATCACTCATACGTACTCCCTGCTAGTATATCTAATCTAGATGGTTTTGAAAATTAATTTGATATGTTAAGTGGCCTTTTTTGCTTTCATAGGTGAAGAATGATGTTACCAGATATCGATATGGTGACGAGCAGCATTTGGATGAGGCATTGAAACGGATATTCCAGTATGGTCAAGTATGTTATTAGTGAATTATCTTTTAGGTACTTAATTGTATTTTTTGTATTATCTATTTCTCCATTTTCATATTTTGAGGAATAAAATATAAGGTTTTCAGGACTCAGGAGAGCCTAAAAACTGGGGAGATAACATAAGAGTAACAATTGGTTCTCCTTTTTACATGTGCTTTAAATGGACCTCAAAGTGATACCTGAACCCAGGTCAAGTTTTGACAATTTGTTCTGTGGGGCTGTTAAAAATAAAACCCATTTCCAAGCCTGCACCCAATAGCTTAAATTTAGGATGATTTGGTTCTGTACAGGGGCAAAAGGAATCTTTATTAATAATTTCTCATACCTTCATCCATACCAGCATCATTAGCTAAATACTGAGGTTACCAATATATGCCCTTGTTGCAAGTGGGCTACTCTTTCTTCTTCTGCAGCCTGTGATGTACTCTTCATTTCTGACATCATTTTATCTGCTTTATGTTTCAGGGAGGAGGAATACCAAGAAGAAGTGCACCTGTTCTACAAATGATTCGCGAAGAAGTATGTTGTCAATTTGCATTAATTCATTAATCAGTACTATTATAGAAGTTTCCTTCTGAACTTTTTTCATCGCACTTACTAGATCACTTGGAAATACCAAAAAAGAAAATAATAATGTATATCTCATTTTCTTTTTTAAGAAAAGTTAAAAGTACATTTATGGCACACACATTCTCCCTCTATCTGTCTGCTGAACTGCTTTAAATACACCATATTTTAATTTTCATATTTTGTTCTCATTCTATCACTATATATATAATTTAAAATTACCTTTATGTTATTTGTCTGCTTTAACTTCATTTGTTCTATCATTTGTTGGTATATCATGGAGTCTTACCACAACTTGAGCCTATAACCTCTACCCTTATCCCTACCCACCTCAACCATCTAAGTTACACCCTTTCATAAGATTCATTTAAGTAAACTCAATCACCTGTGTTGTCTTTGAGCACAGCGAGGTGCATCTAAATACCTTTTGTGTTGTCAAAGTCTTTTCGGGTTGTCTTAAGTGTTTGCATTGGCTCAAAGTATGAAATCTTCTAGTAATTCTTTGATTAGTTCACTCTAAGTGTATTTGGGGCGTTTAAAGGCGATTTTATTCCACCTGACATTCATCTCAGTTGATTTGAAGTCCAGAATAGAACTTGTTTTAATGCTTTATTAATTCAACACCTTTGGTACTCTTTTCCATTAATCATTTCATTATTTTTAAGTAGAACTGGCCTAAGCCATTTTGTTTACTCAAGTGTTTCTTCATTAACACAAGAAACCTTTTATTCTAATATACTATAAATATAAGGGATTCCATAATACTTCTGAAACGAAATTCCATAATACTTCTATCTTTTCCATTAATCGTTTCATCTTTTATAATGAATTTACTATTTTACATGTAAATTATTTTTTAAAGAAATTTCTATTAAAACCTTTCCAACAAATCAGCAGTTATTCTTTGTCTTAAGATTGGTTCCCCTCAATATTGCCTTCTCGTTTAAGTAGAACTGGCCTAAGCCATTTTGTTTACTCAAGTGTTTCTTCATTAACACAAGAAACCTTTTATTCTAATATTCTATAAATATAAGGGATTCCATAATACTTCTGAAACGAAAGCCTGTTAATATTTCTCATGCAGCAATCTGTGTTGATCTGAGATGCTATTGCATATTAGTTAGATGATCTTTTTTGTTGATTAGACTCTACGGTCATTCCTTATTGATCCTGTCTCATAATGTGGCCATATCTTAGGTCACACAAGAGGGTAAATACTGTTTAGTCTTGGTTTTCGAGGCCAAGGCTCTGCAGCTGTCAGATTTTGAACGGAGACAGGTATTCAACTTTGCTTTCTTGGAGCATGTACTTTAAATTACTTGCATCTTGTATTCCATTTGCTATGTTCGTGAAGATAATGGGACTAATGGATCTAAAACTGCTAGAAACTTGATCGCCCTTCCAATCTTGTATTTTTTTTTTTTTTTTTTTTTTCCGGGAGGGAAAGATGGGGGGTGGAGTTTAAAATGAATTCATGGAATTGCAGAATAGTAGAGGCAAAAGACAGAAATACCACTACCAAAATCTCATTTTGCATTGTATTTTGAACAAAAAAAATCCTATTGACAATCCTTATCCACAACTTTTGCAATGATAAGAATTGTTAGTTGGAAGCTCAAGCATTCCCCTCTAACCAAAGCACCAAATCACTTCAAACAGCAAATTTCTTCAAAACCTTACTCCAAAAATTTTATGCTAAAGTGTTTCAAAGTATTTGAGCTGACCTACAAAACTAGCTCATTGTGCAAAATAATATGATTATTAATCTCCGAGCTCCGTAATTGCATAAAACAATTCTCAAACAATAAAATATGCTCTTCAGGTTACTGGTGTTAATCCTATTCATAACTGCATTATAGGCAGACAGAAAACTTTAACCTTAGAGGGCTACTGCTTTTGGAATTTAATCAATCCATTTCCTAGTCACTGCAATTCTAAGATCCTCTGGAGTTTTAATTAGGTGCTAACTATTTCCCAATCTTCGATTTTGTGTTTAGGCTAAATTTACTTCATTCTTTGGGCCAGGAATTACAGCTGAAGTTGGTGAGTCTGAAAATTCATCCGATTCTGCTTATATGCTAATACTTAAGAATTAAAAAGCCACAGAATCTGTATGACATGAATGAATGCATTCTGACATAATATTTGGATGCAGGGAAGAGCGAAAACGATTTATATGAGGTTCGACTTATCTCCAATACAGACCCCAATGCGTCTCCTTCATGAAGTTCATAACCATTTTATCCTATACTTCCATGTTGCTGTAGTTAATCATCATGACTTAGGACCTTTGAAATATGTTAAATTATTAAATTCAAAGATTTCGAGCTACTGTATCAAGTGTAAATTTTGATACAGATTGAAAGAAAAAGAATAGAAATTTGAAAGAAAGAGCCTAGCCTTTGAGGACCACACTATTTACTTTATTTTAGATTTGAACAAAACTAAAACTTGCTTGGCCACTCGTTTTTTATAGTTTGAAACATGGGATTTCTCAATTCAGGCTTTCTGACGCCAGTTTCTTGGTATGTCGTAGACAATTAAAAATGAAAAAAATTGTCGTTAGATGCACAATTTATGAGGGCGAGTGTTTCAGATGTTGGCTTTATCTTTTGAATCTACAATAACGTAGTTATGTTTGGATTTGGCAATTTGATAGTGACAACATATTGGGTTTTAGATATATAACCCCCCCTCCCCCTTTACACGGGATTTAAACTTCTTTCCTCTCTCCGAATTACTTTTATGACTTAGCACAACCAAAATGAGTTGTATATGCTACATGTTTGAGATTTTGGTGCTTGCTTTTATAAAAGTCTATTTTTATTTGTAATTATAGTTCACTGTTTTTTGGAGTCTAATGTAAAAAAGTCATTCGTGTAAAGTTGGACGATTATTTTGGTGTTGCTATGGAGTTGCACGAAGGACAAGTTTGATTTGCTAAGAAAGTTGGGCGGTTTGTTAACTGTTTCTTGTATGAAAAAAATACTTTCTAATTAAAAAAGTGTTTTAAATTTTTTATAATAAACAGAGTTTTTGAATAAGAGAGAGACATCACTGACCCCGCACTCCGGATTAGTTCCATAGCCGGCTCAAAGAGTCGAAACTTGTGGGGATACCGGAGGGAGCCAACTCTCTTCAAAGAGGTAATTAGGGTTGGGTAACTTAAAATAAAAATAAAAATAAGAGAGACAAAAATACTATAAAAAAAATATTTAACAATTTTCTTGTAAGTCAGAAAATAACTAAAAAAAGGTGTTAAAAAATGTTTAACATCTTTCGGAACTCATTGAGACATAGTAAATGAAATAAACTCTTTTGGAGATCTCATTCATGGTCCAAATGAAATAACATCTTTCTATACTCTGCGAGTGTCTTTTTCCACCTTAGCGTGGATATGTATCATATGCAGTCAGCTCCCACTACCACACATGACAGCTCATACAAATAGTTATGATATGGAACAATAGCTAAAACTAAAAACTTTGTTTCTATTATTATTGTTGTTAGTATTATTTTCCATTGTTTGATTTTCACAAATGCTTAGAATTAGGATCTTTTCAACGAGCTTTTATTAATCATTACTTTTTATATGCTCGAGTTAAATGATTTAATGTATCATGTAAGAATATATTTTTATAATACTCGCGTCTAAGATTCTCCCATGCTAAACAATTAAATTAGAACAAGCATACATATATATTCACCAATGTCTTTATTGCTATAAAACGTTTAGAGTGATAGATTGATCAAGAAGACCTGGAAAAGGCTTCGAGGTAATTTTTCAAATAAACATAATTATCATTAACAATAAAAAGAGTGGTAAGTGTGTACAATCTTGTTTTTATTTTCTAGTACCCCCCTCCCCCATTTTTCTTGTTCATCTTTTAAGTTTTATATATAAAGAAGATAATTTCTTCTCAAAGTTTTATGATAGATTAATTAATGCTTTTGATGTAGGCAAAATGAGTAAGTTAGTTCAAATTTTAATGGTATTAAAAGTGAACTTGGATTAAAAAAACCTTAGGAAAATAAATGATAAAAGATTAAACCACATGGGAGATTTTGAACTTTTTCCTAATAATAATAGTAATATTGTAAAAACATTTTAAAGAAGGGTTTATTAGTGCAGAAATTGGGAATGTGCAGCACACACACAAAAAGTGGGGTCCATCATATTTTTTTTTTTTTTTAAATTAAAGAATTTTTTTTTTACAATTTTTTTTAAGTTAGTTGTAGGGAAAAATATTTCTACAGCAATAGAAAAGTATTTTCCCCTTTAAAGAAAAGAAAAAAATTATCTTGAAAATAGATAACCAACACTTGAATGGTAGGCTCCTGTCTATTCCTGCACATTATCGTTGAGTGCAGCTAACAGGAAAGCATAAAACTGGAACATCCCTCTTCTACAAAATGCTTAACAAATCAATTTTTGATTTGTATAAATCTATTTCCAAGGTTAAGTAAAATGCTTGAATCTCAAACTTTTAAATCAAATAATTACATTCAAACTTTATCCAATATTTTCAAAATAGTCATAAATATCACAAATCATAAATATGATATTATTATATAAAAAATCACAATATCAAATATTTGTTTCCCATGCACATGTTTTAAACAATAATGATACAATAAAATTTGAAAAATTATAACAATCATAAAATATATCATCATAATTATTATTCACTCACAAGTCTAAAGAGTCAACTAAATTGCTTCCAATGATTCTAGACAAAACAAATGAGTTAGCACTTGGTGAATCTGAACACCAACAAATATTTTGACAATTCCTTAAAAATCATTCAAGAATAAACTAACAATAGATAAAGAGCAAATTGGATGAGAGTTTATAATATATTTCTCTAGAAGCATTAAAATCTTGTATATGCTGAAATTTTTTTACAAAAATATCATTTGTCTATTTTTTTATACATGCAAAAAAGTTAAAAAAAAAAACAAAAGGAAAAGAATCAACTGACACCACTCGAGGAGTGGTTGAGAAGTCCGCAAACAAAAACAAGAGTAACTCAGGAGGAGAATCTAAGAAGACAAGATCATCATCCATATCCGGATGGTCTAATAGGAGGTTCGCCAGGTAGTCGGCGCAACAATTGGCCTCCCTCAGCACATGAATAAAGTGAACTTGCCAGTTACAATTGATCATTGCTCGAATCCGAGTCACCAAAGATGACTCACGAGCTTTCTCATCATGCCTAGTAAGCAACGCGCTTGAGTCGCTTTCGATGATTAGTTTCCTGACACTCTTACTCTAAGTCACCTAGAGCCCTTTCAGAACACCCCACAGTTCTGCATTCCATGCTAAACAAGTACCAATTCGTTAAGAAAATCCACCTCTCCACTTGAGTCTCGCACACCCCACCACAAGCAGCGACTCCTGAATTTCCCCTAGAAGCTCCATCTATGTTTAATTTAATAAATTCTTTCAGAGGAGGAAGCCAAATAATAGTATGCTGGACAGGAAAAGAGGTGTCCTTTACAAACACATCGCACCCTTGTTGCGGATTATCAATCACATCGAAATGCAAGTGAAGAAAAAGAATGGCTAGTTGGCCGTGTGCAACTGAATTACGTCATTGTCATATCATCCAGCAGCCAACAATAAAAAGTGTAGTCCATGAGATCGTACCTGTACTTTCCACCTTAAGATTGCAGTTTCGTTGTAGCCATTCATATCAACCCCGAAAAATATTTTCCTTTTTGAAGAAGGCAGAATAGCCGCCCATATTTTTATTTATTTTGATACGGTACATTTGAACACAAATATTGAAAAATTATTCGTTGCCTTTGGAATGGATTAATATTGAAAAAATAATTTTCTATACTCTATATGATAAAAAGGGAAGGAAAAAAAAAGTATAACAGAAAAATAAACTGTAAAGGGACATAAGTCTAGAAAGACTAAAAAATTGCAAAATCCTACAATGAACCCCTCTTTTTCTCGTGAAAGCTAAAAAAAACAAACCCAAACAAAAAAACAAAATAACACTTTAGAAATCTCTTTACTTTTATGGGGTGTTCGGTAGAGAAGAAATTTTTTTTTATCAGAAAAAAATTACTAAGAATATAGTGGGAAACTGAGTTTGGTAGAAAAATTTAAAACAAATTGTTTGGTAGGCCGAAATATTACTGGAAAAATCGATTTTAGTTTGCTAAGTCTATACTTGGTTGAAGGTAAAATATAGGTGGAAAAATATGGTTAAATTACCACAACAACCCTTGACTAAAATAAAATTAGAAAAATATGATTTTAGTTTTTGTAGTTTTCCCAAACATCAGGGTCATTTTGGTCTCCTTGCTTGCAATTCTTTTTGGATTTCCCATCTATCAGCAAATACCACCTTGTAGGTGGTATTATTCAACAGTGTTTTTTATACACAAAAAGCAAATACTATGCAACTGATTTCCCTAGCAAATTTTTTTAAAACATGATACCAAACATAGACATCCAAAAATATCACTTCCATTTGCATAGTTGTCCTTGATAAAAACTTGTACCGAACACACCCTGAGTATTTGGTATGGAATGATGAGAAAGTGGGATGAAGAATATTTATTTACCATATTTGGTATAGGTATTGTGAACTTTGAACTACACAAAGGGAATTTTTTTTTTTCACTTAGCCTTTGGTATTTTTTTCCCCTTGATCTTGGATTCTCAAAAAGTAACATTTGATTCACTTTTTTCCAAAAAAAAAACGACATTTTGACCATGACTCACTTGGCATATTCAAAAAATTAAGGGTATTTTGATAATTTTCTTCACATTCCCATCAATGTTTTACTATCAACCAAACATAGCATAGTAAAATTAACCCAATTTTCTCTATAAAATTTTGGTCAACCAAACACTTTTTTGTAACTTATCCGGGATAAAAAAATTCTTACCAAATTTCTAATAATTTTTTTTTCTTGGTAAAAAAAAAAATATCTCTTATAACAAACGTCCCCTTATTATTAAAAGAAAAAAAATCTCTCGTTCCAAAAAAAAAGCTGTTGCAGTAGAAATTATATCGAAAGTCATATCAGCCCTTATTATTAAAAAAAGAAAGAAAAATGATAGACACAACATGTTTTTTTCTCTGCCGCTGTAGCGAGAGATTCATAAGTCCCTTTTACTTTTATCTTAAAAATTTCCAAATCTTGGAATTCAAAAGTTTTCAAAAAACTTTCAAATATTTTGAAGTCACATTTATTTCAAAAGATGAAAAGACAAAAATAAAAATAAAAAATAAAAATAGAAAAACCTTTTTCCTTTTAAAGAGAAAGGCTTTTACCAAAATCTACTTTGACCCAATGAGGCCCAAAATCTAATAATGTGGCCCAATCGCTCTCAGATTCAATGCATCACAATAAACCCTACGCCTTAACCATTCTTCAAATACATCTTCTTCTTCTTTTTTGGGTAAGAGTTTTCTCGAATTCCACACACAGTGATTTACATTTTCGTAATGGTTACTCTGAACTGTTATTTATGAACGTTGTGATTAAAACGTGTTTCAGATTGATTGTCAGTGATGGAGCACGGTTCGCACTCTGATCAGAGTAAATCTACTTTTTCTCTGGTTGATGAGGATCACACATTTGCAAATTCTGTCAGATTCACCTTAAATCAAGAGTTAGTAATTCTGGAAATTCTTATGTGACTATCTCTGTATTTTTCTTACAATTTTTTAATTCATTCAAATCCAAAGTACAAAGTGCATGCTGCAATATCAATCTTGTGTAATTTTCTTCTTTTTTTTTGGTTATCGTATTATAGAAGCAGAAATTTAGGCTATCATTATGATGAACAATCAAAAGTTACTTCAATGTAGAAACAATATTAGTATCTATAAAAGAAACATAAAGTGAACTTAATCCTTTTCATGAAACAACAAATAGGTTGACAGATCCCCATCCTCTCCTTTACATCTGTTGGAGAAGGAATAGAAAGTGAGATCATGGCATAAATCCCTGTTTATATTGATTTCAACCTATACTTTATTTGGTAGATAATTGATTAATCCATTTGCATGCTTGTTTACTTGAGTTTTGAGCCTTTGTTTGGTGTGCATTTTTTGAAGTGAAAAGGAAAGAAAGAAGTCCAAGGATTGAGCCTAACCCTTGTGTGGTATCAATTTAACAGTGGAAATGAAGAAATTTGGAATTTTAGAGTGATTGACTCTCTTTTTTTGTTTTTATTTTTGACTTCACACCTAAATGTTAGTTTTATTTGGCTGTTTCATATTTCTCCCTGTGCCTCCTTTCTTCCTCATCATGTGTTCAGTTCAATACTTCCTGTTGAGATGTGGTTATTAATGTTATTTTGCAGTCCAAGAGTGACATTTTGTGGGTACAGCATTCCTCATCCTTCAGATAATCGTGTTAATATCAGAGTCCAAACAACAGGTAACATTTAAAGTGTCTTTCAACTCTAGCGTTTATTATGGTGAATATAGTCTGCAAATTTCTGCCACAAACAAGTGAACAAATACATATTTTGTATTAATGCAACCACAAGTGCATGTACTTATACCATCAATTTCATATTCTGTTTTGCATTATAACATATCCTGCTAGACCTATTTATTTGCCAGTTTTGGAAGATGACATTCCGGATCTCATGAAACTAAAATTGTTGAAGCAAGTTACACATATCACTAGATCTCATGATACTAAAAAATTTTCTCATCCCATTCTGTATTTAACTTGAGATGATGTTTTTATGGACGTTATAGGGTGTAGGTAGTGCATCTATAATTCAGGGAAGAAATATTTTATTTAGAAAAAAAAATTAGGCTAACTCTGGGCATCCATAAATACCTTTCTAAATCAGATGTTTGCACTAAATTTATTGTTTGTTTGTTTGTAATATACTATGATATTGCATGAGTAATTTTCTTTACAATGCGTTGTCACTGTACATCTGTAGGGGATCCAGCACGAGAAGTGTTAAAAGATGGATGTCAGGATCTGATGATTATGTGCCAGCATGTTAGGAACACTTTTGATAAGGCTGTCAATGATTTTAAAATGACCAAGACTGTGGAGGATATGGATACCAAATAGTGTCTGTTCTAGACTTCTAGTTATAGTTTTGATATATGTATTGATATTTGATCTGGTTGTGTATTTTTGGGCTTAACAGTTGAGTATATAAACTTGTTATATATGTTTTCGGAATCCATGTTTGTTAGTGAGAATAATGATTTAGATGCATCCAATTTTGTATAGGGTATAAGGACCGATGTGAGAGCTGCAAAAGTTTTTTGGTTGCAGTGAAATGAGAGGTATAAACCCCTTTTGTATATGAATATTTATTTTACAAGGAAATAGTTATCTATTAGATGAAGCTGTCGCACGGGAAATATTAGAGTATTTATAGGGAGGTGGCTTTCTCCTCTGCATTTTTTCCAATCCTAAGAATGGAAGTGTCTGAGACCTCTCTTAGGCGATTTTCACCACATGAAGAACGAAACATATCATCCGTGACCATTGAATTACATAATACAAACATGAAAATGTACCACGAATAGACTCCATACACAATTGCAATTGTTCTAAGCTTTTCTATTTCTACTAATAATGCACTGCAAAATTTCTGAAGAGAATGAGAGAACAAAGGGAATGGCTTCTCTCAGCATCACATAGTAGTCCATTTTTCATTTTTCAGCAAACTTTGAAAAGTGAGAAATATGCTATTCCTTCTTTGCCTTTCTTTGTCTCTGCCTTTTATTCATTATCCATGAAAAGCACCCACATTGCATGTAAAGTTGCTCATCGTTCTCCCTATACTCGTTCACTTCTCTTATTGTTTCTTTTGTAGTCTCCCATGTTTCTTTATCCTTCTCTTCCACCTGCATATGCATTTGTACCTCACATCAATGTCATATTTGGTATCTTGTACTTCTCAAACCCATTAATCATTTTTGAATGTTGCTGTATTAGGAAACTTTAATCTGATTATGCTTTATTTCCTGGGAAAATATTTTTTTTTTTACTAACTATATGTAATCAAAGTTATTTGTATAATGTATGATTCAAGTTAATCAACTGGTAATCATTCTGTAAATTGGTATAAGCTATATGCAAGCCAAAATAAGGTGTGGCCCTGGCTAGGGGTGTAATGGTGCAGCTTTTTCCTAATTTAAGGCTACACATAAATCAAATTACTCTTTTATTGAAAAAATAAAAATAAAATAAAATTAAACGAACATTATTTTGTTTTTGTTTATTTTTTTGTATATATAGCATGTTTGTTTTAGATTGTAGGAGATTCGAGTACGATATTGGTGTCGGAGGTTCATTCTCGGACTAGTTTTTTTTTTATGTACAATAATGACACTCAAATTTGAATGTATGACCTCGCCCAAATTACCTAAATTTCTTACCACGGATTAGTCACTTTTTTGCATCCTTATATTCAAGTGTTTGCATTTTCAATGTAACAAAAATAGGAAAAAATTATTCACAAAAAAGGTAAAAAATAAAGTACATAGTAGTTACCGTTTTCCATGTCAAATTTCCTTGAAGTGACTATTCTATGATGCCCATATATCATTGCTATAATTACGGGTGTTAACAGGCCGAGTCTAGTTGGGCTTTGATTTTAAAAGATTAAGTCTGTGTTTAAATATGTCAGTTTGTCCTAGCCTGTTACTTGTTATGAATATGATTATCGGCATGTGGTCTGACTTATTTACAAACAATAAAAGTCTATCGGCATGTGGTCTGACTTATTTACAAACAATAAAAGTCTGGTTTAGCCTATTAAAAAAAATAAGATAACAAAATTTATTCTAACAAAATATATGATCAATAGCACGTATAATTCCATAAAGATTCATAAATTCAATGTGTATCAAAACAGCATAATATAGAACAAAATCATTCAAAAAGTCTGTTTAACCAATAAAATAGGGTGAAACGGATTGAAGAAAGAGGGAGGGCTATTATAAGTAATATAAAAAATATAAAATGAAAGTAAAAGTTAATATACTATGCTAGCCTAAGAGGCTCTAAGACTGGACTTTCGAATTAGAGTTTGAGGTCTTTTTGTTAAACGAGTTTTTATACAAATTCAAGCCTGGTTCTAACAACCAATTTTAGACATATAAGTCCAGGCTATCACGAGTCGGGTTAAATGCCCATGAAAGACCTCTGATTCGTTTAGCACCCTTAGCTATAATGCAAGAAATTGCCTAACATTATGATGGATAACTTAGTTTCCCTTCTTAACTATAGTTTTTTTTTTTTTTGAAACATATCATAAATATCTCTTTGAGGCGAATAGGCTCCCCTGGTATCTTTACAATCGTCGATTCTTTAAGTCGACTATGGAACTAATCCGAAGTATGGGACGGGTCGGGAATAAAGATTTTAAATCTCTTTCAAAAATGACATATGAGAATCTATAGCCTTTTATCCGCGGGGTAACTATCAAAATGCCATCTTTTCACAAAAGCATACCAAAATGTCATGGCTAAAGTTCCATTAGGTTCAGTGGGACATATTTTGCCATGTGGCAAAAAAATTTGAGTTTCACTAACTGACTTAACGATACTAGTTCTCAACATCACAGGCATTTCACCACATGGTAGAAGAACGTGAGTGACTCAGCCATCTAGACTCACAATATTGGACAAATCTTTGGTGCATTAGATATATCCAATTTGGTACATTTTTTTCACATTTAAAAAAAAAAATCGTCACCTTTGAGAAAAAAAAAATTCCCGCCACATTAAAAAGGTTTCTTCTTTTGAAAAAAAAATGTACCGAATTAGATATATCTGATGCACCAAATATTTATCCCACAATATGGCAAAACGTGTGCTGCTGGATCCAATAATAAAATTCTACCATGACATTTCAGAAAATAATTTTCTTGGCATATTGATATTTTTTTTTTCCATGTAGTGTCAAATTGATCGTTGTCCTTTTATATATAATCCTAATGAAGGATTAGTAGCATGGCAATGAGTAAGCATTTTCATTAATTACCCTCGACTACTCGATGGTAAAATGATTTACTTAGATTGAAGGAGAATAGTACAAGTATTTTAAATTAGGGTTTGCATTCTATCATTTAACATGACCACACAAACCTTTCTACACACAACATTTTGTGGACCCACATGTTTTAAAGAAAAAAAAAAAAAAACTACCGACACGCAAAACGAATTTCTATAACATTACACAGTCATTTCTCCTACAACATAACTCTTATAAAAATCTTTAAATTATTCAAAGAAGGAAAACTGGGTAGATTGAAGAGTTAATTTTGGAATTGCTTATCAACTTGTCAAGAAACTCTTTCATCACTCAAAAAAAAAAAGACTAGTGTACGTGTAGATAGCAGAAAACTTGGGAAAGTGTGAAGGGACCAATACAGAAAATGTTGAACTTAGATTCCAAAAATAGTGTAGAGTGGCATGTGCACATGAAACATAGAGAGGGACCAATATATCCAATACCCCACATTGTACAATCTAATTATATGACAACTATATTTGATTCTATTATCTTGGAAAACGCGCACCCCTTTGGCCTAGGTTTCTTCTTCCTTTTCGTGCATTTTGAATTGTAATTTTGAAATATTGAAAAATAAAGGTAGATTTTGCATCTGGTTTTTTAGTACTTCCTTAGCTAGTGATAAAATTTATAACTACCCTCCTAAAGGGATTTAATTTTGATAACTGTTACAATAAATTTTATTTTAGGACATGCTATTGTTCATTCTAGCCTTTAGATTCTTGAGATCCATCCACATAATGCAATTTCATGTTTTCTTGACTTTATCACGTGTCTATAAAAAAATAAAATCAAAGGTTGAAACACTAAAGCTAGAAAGAACACTGGAATGTTTAACAACAAAATCTTTTTTATTTTTTTTCATTTAATCATGTTTTAACATATGAGAGAAAATTCATGGCTTTCATTTAATCACGCTAGACAATATCAATGGCTTTCATAGTTTATGTATAAGAGAAAATTGATTCCAAAGCTAAATATCAAGGTCTTAATTGGAATATATGGTTTACCGATGTGATTCGAAATCAGATATATTTTATCGGATTAATTTTTTTGACAAATTATTTATCAATCTAAGCGAGTGAAAAATGCATGAAAAGTGTGCGTGTTTAAGTCGCGCATCACCTCAATGTGTGACTTAAATGTACATATTTCTCGTGCACCCGCATTAGATTGATAAAAAATTTGTCAGATGATTTCACCTTACATGGTTCAAAAAGCCAGATTCTAACCAACTCATTTGAAAAAATAGGAGAGAAAAAGAGAAATCTAGCACATACCTCTTCCTCAGAATTAGATTTGGTATTTGAACTAAGCGAGTATTCAGATAGCTTCATTGATCTCTCTATGATGGATGGAGTTAGAGCAATGCTGGAACTGTTTGAACTAAGATAAGGAGGTGTACTTTGAGTACCAGCATCTCTTGTCATTCCCTCCTTTTTCTTTTCTGAATAGAAAAGTCAAGTGGAATTGTTAAGGGACTTGAACTGTGTCAAAAAGTAAAAGCAAATACATAAGAACATATGGCTATGTGAACCTGGAATGTGTAACTGAGGAGCTACATCATCTTGTGTGTAACTATAAGTTGATGGCTTTGTGCAAATTTGTCTTGATGAAGAATAAACTAGAGGAGCAGACTTGTTAATTCTGTTTGTTTTTGAGTTTTGAAATGATCTTCCACTAAGAGTTTTTGCAGATAAACACTCCATTGGTACTTCTCCTGAAAGAGGGTTGCATATATACTTTTCTGCTTCATTCCACTTGGAATTCAAAGCAAACCCATCTGAAGATAAGCACTCCCAACTTTTATAACCTGACCTTGCTTGCAATGCTGCATTGGACCACCATGCAATTGATTGAAAAAAATTCAGAAAATATTGTAAAAGTATAAACCCTCTATGCTAAATATCAATGTGGTTCATTCTATGGTACCTTCAAGAGCAGTAGTGAAAGAATAAGTTGGAGGGTCTATTTCATCTGTAACAAAATTGGGAGTTAAAAAATAAATAATGAAATTTTTGAATTGGAGCAAGAGAAGGAAAGTACCTTTAAAAGGGTATCCAGGTGAAGAAGCAGTGCTAGAAATGGTTATGTTTGATCTAAAAGACTTTGTGTCTTCTCTAAAGCTTCTTATATATGATGCTGAGTACCTTCTGGACTTGGTGTTCTCTCTACTGATTCTAGCTTTCACTGCCCATTCTGTCAAATTGAAATCTGAATCATCTTGTTTCTTATAACTATAAGGAGATGATTGAATTTCCACTGTGGAGGCCATGAATGAGTTAGAATTGTTAAGGTCTATACTCTATGACATGACTAAAAAAGAGGCTTAAGAGTTCAAAGGATGTAACTTTTTTTGTCTTTGTAAGCAGTAGCTGGCATGTATATGTAGCTTTTGTTTTAATATGTCTCTTCCAAATTTTGCTCCTTCGCTATATGACATGGCTCAAGTGTCTTTCTATATTGCAATTCTATCTTTACTTTTATCCTTTTTTGGTCTGTGCATTAACTTGATTGTACTGCACTACTAACTTTTCTTATTCTTTGATGCCCATTGGGTGAGGTTTTAATCTTTCAGTTTATTATTGGACACAAAAAACACATTGCATATATACGGTTTTTTGTTAAAGCAAGACAAGATACAAATTTTTGGCACCACCAAACATGTTGATTAATTGATAAGAGATACTTCGAGTTTAATCAATAGTCTCGAGTTCGAACTGCTATTAAAATCTTGTAACAAGAGTTTTGTTGTTTCTATGGTCTTGTGTGACTCATGTTAATAAGAGTTTTATTACGTCTTTTTTAATTCGATTGGACTAATTTAATAATCGATGAACCGATGGAGAAATCCAAAACAAATATATAAATTTGGCTACCTTACCTGTAGTTCCTTTAATTAGGATGCTGCAATCGATGATATTGTAATCTATGGAGTACTTGAAATTCCACGATTGAGACAATTTTTAAAGAATAAACTAAATTAAGTTTATATTTGCTTAGCTTTAATATATGCTTTAAACTCATTTATTAAACATTTGTATAATTTATTGAAATTTGTTACGCATGAAAAAGGGAAAGCAAGAAATCAAGAAAACAAAAATTTAATTAATGATAATGTTTCTTTTGTATGAGGTCTTGACAATACTTTTTTTACTTACATTATGATTAAAAAAAATTTAAATTAAAATGAACAAAAGGTTATATCTCAAATAGATTTTATACTACATACATTTTTTCATGGAATGAATGGCAATAAAAGGATTCAGAGTTAGCATTGAAAATGAAAATAAAATAAAAATCCAAAAATAAAGTACGCTTAAGGAAATTAAATGCAGACTTAATGAAAAAATTCATCAACAAATATACACATCCTAATATAGAAGCATTTGAATATGTATTATTTATAGTTGTCCTTCACTTGAAGTAACTTTTTATTTATTTTTTCTGTAAATAAGTAACTTTTTACTTATTGATAACGTGATACAAACTTAGTAACCTACCCGAATGTAACAAGAGAAAATATTATTAGTGATCAGACCATTCCAACATGAATTGAGCTAAATTATACAGGATTGAAAGATGAAGACTTTGAGTTGTATGTTGTTTTTCGTGGGTTTGAGATGTTCACCAGGTATATGAAGGTGGTTGAACGCTTCTAGCACAATGAAAATGACTGGTGGGGGTATCTGCAAAGACACTTCGACGCTCAAATCAGTATCAATACTAGGTTTATGTTATATTCAATGAGAATCAGATGATCATACTTGAGTTTGTACCCTTCATATTTATAGCAAGCTTTATGCCACCATTGGTAGACGACATGCCTTTTTATTGGTTGTTGTGGGCTGCAGACTTTTTTGTTTCAACTGGGCCTTTCTGGTTATAAGTCTATATATTTGTCTGTCTTCCTAGAGTGGTGGCAAGCTAAAGCTGTCGTTGGTCTTCATGCACGGTGTGACTCAACTTGTTGCAGAGTCTTTCCTTAACCTTTAAGTTATAAAAGTCGGCATAATATGCACAATGTCTAACTAACGCTTCTTGCGCTACGAGGTTATTACTCCTCTTGAGCCCTTTCTGGGCCTTGAACCTTATGAGCCTACGTAATTATCCAAATCAATTGGCCAAATACATCCACAAAAAATTGTCAAAAAAAATTAGTGTCACTATTTAGTTAATAGTTATAAATTTGTGGAAATCTGATAGAGAAAGGCTTACATGTACGGGGTTACCCTTCTTGTTGTTTTGCACTTAAAAAGGCCAGCATTGGCTTACCGTGTTTCACATCAAAAGGATGTTACACCAGCTCACAAAATCATTAAGTTTTGTTTGATAAAACACAAAACCCTTCAGGAAACTTCCCCTTGGAGCTGCAATCAAGTAAACTTATTAGGGTCTGTTTGAATATATTTTTTTCAAAAAAAGATAAAAAATACTGTTTTGAATATAAAGTTTGAGAGTAAAAGAATAATAAAACTTGTTTGAGTATAGTTAAGTTTAAAGTTATAATTATTTATAAAAAAATAATTAATGAAATTTCATAATTATAAGATTGCCATTGTAAAGCAATTTAAAATTAAAAAGAAATTAAATTTATTTACAAAAATACCTCTAATGAATTCTCAGATTTACAATACTGCCACCGCAAAAATAGAAAAATCAAAAAATAACTTTATTGTTCTGCTTTTTTAATTTTTAAAACAGAAAAACAATCATTGTTTTCAGAATCATTTTTCAAAACAACCCTTTCGAACAATTTTTATTTTTATTTTATTTTTAAAAAAAACTCAAAAACTTTTTTTTAGAATAGAAATCAGACAGGCCATTAGTTCTTTTCAATGATAAACTTAAATATGAAAAGCTCACAAAGAAAATATTTCAGAATTTTTTTTTTCCTTTATATCCACGAGTTTATTGGTTATCAGATCTAATGTGGTTTGAAGTTTGAACACAATTGGATCCATATAAGTGGCAACAAGTCCAAGAAGCTTTTAGATCAAGCAGAGCACTGTGCCTATGATTAATTTAGACAATTGATTTAAAAAAAAAAAAAAAAACTGTTAAAATGAAGTTTCCTTTCTTGATCTTCTCCAAATTTGAGTTACATTTGTAACCTAACAATCCATCTGGAAATACTGCTGTTTTGAGAATGTGATAGCATTGTTGGGTTGTTTTCAGGATGGGCTGTGAAGTGATCAAAACAGTGGATGTCACTTGTCAAAAGAGTTGGAACTTGGAAGTGAAAGGACAATTGAAGGAGTGGAGTGAGAATGTCTTTGTGGTTGTGCATGTGGGTGCCACGTGCTTGCAGTAATCCTGCTGAGCCAAGGGTCCTTACATTGTGGAATCACTTGTCTTATGTAAACGCAAAGTAGGTATCAAGAAATAGATGTTCCCTTACCTTAGTTGCCAGCTCTGTGGTCCATAAAGTTGATTTTTTTTTAGTAAAGTTTTCCTGTTTTTTCAAGGAGATATGTTTCATCCCCACTTGTACTACTTCCAATGAATTATCTTATCTACTCACATATAGTCATGACCAATTATTAAGCACTGCTTTGGGACCCACAACCACATGGCTAGTCATCAGTATCACTGGTTTATCATTGTTTTCCTCTCTCCTTTAGTATGACTCGAACATTGTTCACATCATAACTGGGTAATTGAATGTTTGATATTAGTAAACATGGAAACTCAGATGAAAATTGGCAACATACAACTGCATGATAATTGTAAATTTCACTTTGCTACCTCTAATTTTTCCAATTTAGACAACTACTTTCCAGCTTCTTTCCGCTAAGCAAACCTTGAACACTATCTTCCCCCTAATCAAAGTCAGCAGAAAACTAGGACTAGAATGGGGGAAATCCATTTGTCAATTTTCTTTTCTTTTCTCTTTGTTTTGCCTTATTTTCTGCCTACTTTTCTCTTTTCAACTTTCAGGCTTATGAATGATACTTGCCTCAGCCACAGAATTCATACAGCCTTCAAATGAAAGCATAAATCATAATTAACAGGTAAAGCATACAATGCGTTGAGATTGTCAAGTTAAGACAACAGAACAAAATGGGCAACAAGATAACCCTCCAACTACACAACATCTTTCAATAATAGTATAATAGACAGCTAGAACAAGGAAATTGCAATCACATGGATACTATTCCAACAAGCAGAGCAATCCAATTGCCAAGATCATGCCTTTTCTATCGAACCCTGCTCAGTTCTCTGCCAGAAAACCTTGATTTCAGCCAACCTCCAAAAGATTGGCATCACAGTCAACATTCTCGTTGGAGGGATGTAGGCTTGCAGTTTACTGTGATAGGTTTTGCAGGACAGGTGGCTTTAAGCTGTTGAATAACGCAGATCCAGAATTTCAGAACTCCATGGATATTTAACCGGTCCCACCACCTTGTCAATCTAAAACAGGAATAAAAATAAGTATTAGTGGTATTCATTTTATATGAAGAAAATTGCAACTTCCCCTGATCTAGGATTCTAAAATAAGCAAACTTTGTCTTCAAATAAAAGAACCATCACAATTCAACTCAACTGACCCAGTCAAAAACGCAATGTTAAACAATAACATCACAGTAAGTGAGAGACAATTATCGGATTATGCATTCAGAGCATGATATATATTCTGTAATCAGGTCACATCATGTCATCGGTAACTTGATTTTCACAATGAAGAACCTGTATAAAACTGCATAGATCACTAGCAGCAACATACATACACTCAAGCAAGTTTCAAAAATCTGTGAACCCAGGAAAATTACATCACCAAAATTTATATACCTTTCAAAATCTCCAGTATCTTAAGGATGCACTATATGGGGAGGCAACCAGAGCACCTGACTCAATAATTAAGAACATACCATCCATGTTATTCCAATAATTTATGATGGGAAGTATAATTCAAGAAAAGAAAGGTGTTAGATCATGTTCTGCAACATTTCCTGTTTGGACAAAAATGTATTTATTATAACTAATAAAAGTACTTACTATGAAAGAGTGTATCCACGAACCATACCCGTACACATCAGAATGTCAAGGAAGCCAAGAATATTGATTTCCTAAAAACAAGCTTACATCAGAACTTTGTAGCATGTAAGAATTACAGGTCGGTGAGGTCACAAAGTACGAGGCAAAGGCTTACCATCGAAAAAGAAAAAAAATTGAAGCAGCTTCACGAAATTGCATATGCATATAGGCTTCCTGTTGATCATGGAAATTTTACGTGGTGGATAAGCAATATATAGGAAATATCAAAAGCAGGAACTGCTGAGAAGCAATCAAAAGTAGTTCTAGATCCCATGTAATAATTTATACTGAAACTAGAAGCTAAACTAAAAGGGTGGACTCATGTATGAGATTTCGACCATTGTGAGATCCTGCAGTCTTGGGAAGGGTTAAATGTAAACAAACTTACCCCCATTCATGGATAGGCTGTTTCTGTGACTAAAAAAATTAGACAAAGTAAGAAATACATGCAAAATAGCCTATAGCAATTTTGAAAGTCTACATATGATACACACGTCCCAAATAAAACCTTTCAAATTGCTCATATTACAATATACGCATAACGAGAATTATTAGACTTTACTGAGACATACCATAAGTAAGAACTTATTTTATTTTCTCTTTCCTTTTTATTTTATTATGGTTTGTCAAAGGAAGGAGGTGGAGGAAAAGATGCAAGTGTTTCCTTGGACTAGAATCCGAAAAAAAAAAAAAAAAAAATTAACATGACACAAAAAGTAAATATTACCTTGTCCAAGAATCAGAATTGAATTTGACGTTAGAGAAATGACATCTTGGATCTTTTCACTGGAGAAAAGAACTCGAATAACTGAGACAGACAGTAGAAGTTACTCAGGTTACGCACAAAATTGAAGAAAGAAACTCAAAAGATGTTCTAGGATCCCTAATTTGTACTGAAGAGAAATAGGATATGACTTGCTTCAACACCAACATTACATTTATCCCAAGCTAATTGGGATAGGTTTTCGACGAATCCAAATAAAATCAAGAACATATTGCAGGAAAAATAAATAAGAAAGACAAAATAAATAAATGAATATATGGAAAAAGGACTAAAAAGATAGCCTAAAACATAGGGGGGAAATCTATCCTTCCAAAATGTTAATAACTTTCCTCCACTCCATCCTAAGACAAATCGTACTCTAATCTATTTCTCACTCCATTAAATCTTATTTTACTACCTTCCCCAAGTTAATAGTTGCAACAGACATTTGTATTGTTTGGTTCAATATATTTGTCCTATCGCTGTAATTAGTTAGTCATTGTAGTGGTTTGAATGCTGAGTCAGCACTTGTGTTTAGCTTTCTTAGGAAGTTGTTTGTCTGAGGTCTACAAATATTCTCTATAAATATATAGGTTTTGTGTCTGTATGTGACTTTTCATCTTTTCAAAAATAACATACATGTGTACTACAACTTTCTATCTCTCTCTCTCTCTCTTCTACTTTCTCACACTTCCCCACTTTATCTCTGACAACTAAATTTCGGCAGACTTCTTCCTTTCTTTATGTCTCGCTCTTGGTAACAAATTTTTGTTCTTTCTGACATCTAGTGGTCTTCGAAGAATATGCCCAAACCATCTTAACCTACGTTTTCTCCTCTTTTCGGCAACTAATCTCAATAATATCTTTCGTCGAATATCTTCATTTCTTATCTTATCCATCCTTGTATGACTATCCATCCACCTTAACATCCTTATTTCCACGACTGTCATTTTATGCTCATTGTCATATGATAGGCCCATAGTTACAAGTGTAAATACAAGGAAAGGCAAGCAAAGAGCATGTGGATCATGCACAATAAACTAGTGGATAACGTGGACAACTCTTTTAGTCTGAGTTATGCTAGGAGAACTCTGTTATATTAGGAAGGGAGGAACACGTAACGAGGTAGGAAGATAATGGGAATTGTTTTGGGCAGCTTTTTGCTGATAAGGAGAGACTGACCTCTCAAAGTGTCAGGTATCACACTGTTTCATCTATTTTCAGGAGAATTCAATACAATTTCTGTTTCTCTTTTCAATTTTCATTACTTCGTTTATTGGTACCTATCATCATGCAACCAACTCTCCCAAAAACATAAGCCGTCGGGTGAAGGCACATAAATGGTTTTATTATATCTCTCGACACGCTTCTTCATCCAAGAAACCTTTGGGGGCTTTAAACGTGGATAATACATAGGCTCATTGTCTTGAAATTTAACTTTTTTTATTAGAAAATGGGGCTACAAAAATCAAACTCTAGGTTGCTTGGTCATAGGCTCTGATACCATGTCATGCAACCAAATCTCCTAAAAGCTTAAGCTATTGGGTGAAAGCACATAAAAGACTTTATTATATCTCTTAGCACTCATGTTGTTTTTATGCTAGCCAACATTCAGTTCTCTAGTATTGCAAGCCTTACTCCCGTTCTATAAAACTTTTCTTTCAGTCTAAGGGATTTTGTGATCGCATAAAGCGCTGATCCACTTTGTCATTTCATCCAACCTCTCTTATACTATGACTTACATCTTTATCAATTTATTCCCCCCTTTTGCAATATTGATCTCAGATATCTAAATGCATCATTCTTAGGTAGCTCCTGTCTAAGTATATATGAGAAAAAATATTGGACCCCCAAATGAAGTTTATGAATTTTATGGGCCTTTAAATAAAATTTATTCATCTCACCTTTCATATTTATTGAGTTTGGGCTTAACTATTCTTGGACTAAGCAATTGTAAAAGTACATCTTATTTTTATTTTTTATTAGAAAAAATAGCATAACCATTTAGAGACCATCTTTGTTTAGCTGTAGATATTATTATGCTACAAGTCAAAATTTGTGACAAAAATAAAGAGGAATTGAGTTGCTATCTAGAATATCAGTATTGTTGTTGTTATTCTTTCTCAAGCTTTACAACAAAAATTTCAAGATATAGTGAATAGTTGCATTTAATCCATTCTAGAAATGTGCTGATTGGAAATTTGAGAGATGTGTCAAGGGAGATAGTGAAAAATATGTGGTATCATTTTTGTCAATAACATGATATTGAAGTTCCTTACTTTAGTACTTAGGGCACTCTCATCACCTAAAAAGATCAAATCACACAAAGCTTCATTTGAGTCGAAATAGTTTTAGTTACAATAGATAATAAGCAGTTACAACTTGCAAGAGTTGAATAGCAAGTTTAATACCGAAGCAATGAAATTATTGACTCTAAGCTCTGCTTTGATTTCTAAGTGTACTTATAAAGGTGAAATTTGTTTTAATAACTTTAGATATTAATTTTCTAAAAGCATGAATATCTTAAAAGAGAGCACATTTTCAGTGCAACGGGAGTACCTACTCCCTTATCAAAAAAGGGAAAAAATGGGATATGGGTGAAAATAACTATAAAGGTAGGGGTAATGTAAATAGGTTACTTTTTGCCATATTTGGGAAAGATGTATCGAGAGCTCGGTACTCCCATAGCACTGAATATTTCCGTTAAAAGGTACATGCTTAAAAATTTAATTTGTATAAATCATTTATTTTGGTGTGTCAAAAATTTTAGTTCAAGCTGTGCCACAACTCATACTTTTTTTCCATTCAGACTAGCATAAGCTGGGAGATCATGGTTATGGAAGTTTGTGAACCTGGGAGATGCAAAAGCTTTTCACCACCGTCATTTCCATCTGCTTCATTTATAGCATTTACCTCATCCATTATAGTGAACATGTGAACAGAATGGCATCCATCTGATATCCAGACAGTCTGGGATACTGCAAGATAATAACTGAATTATAGTTTGTAGAGAAAAAACAGATGCAAACAGAAATATCATGGTCTTGTACAATGGCAAAGATTAAAGTTTTTTTCTTTCTTTCTTTCTTTTCCTTTTTTGGATAAAAATACATTACAGCTAGTAACTAAAGGAACGACTATAACTTTAACATTCTTCTGTTATCTAAGTGCTAATGACTTTCTGAAGCTTGATGTTTGAACCAATCATGAATGTACATTATAATCCTTCACTCTCCTGTCATTGTCGTTTGAACAAAAGGTTATACGACTAGAATATAATCCTTCATTTCTTTTTTATAGTATAATCTGTTATATCTTTTGAATCCTTGTTTGGAATGAAAGTGACAATAGAATTAAATATGAATGAATGTTTTTAATTTTGAGTAATTTTTTATGTTTGTAGACTTCGTTGTAGCGGTTATACTGCTACCCGCTATACCGTTATTGCATTTTTGAGGTGGACTGCTATCGGCCGCTACCCACTATTAATAACTATGATGTCATGTCAGTTGGTAAAAGCAAGTCTCCTAAAGTAACTGATCTCTCAATCTGATGCTTAAGATAAAATAAAAGAGAAATAAGATTTTAGTATTTCCCTTCCCCGTGTCCACTTAACCTTTTCTAAACAGAGGATGATTGGGAGAAATTTTGTCTCCAGGCTGTACACTGGTTCCGTACAGTGTGATTACAATCAATTACCAAACTAATTGGAAGCTAATCAGGACAAATTATAAAACTGAATAACAGCTATTAACTACAGTTGTGACCATAATGACTGATATAATATTCTAAGTTTTAGCATGGACACGATTACTGTCAATACCATAACTGATGGAAGGATTTTAATGGAATATTTCACCCCACCAAAAATAATTCCATGTTTCTGGATTTTGCCAACATCAACATAAAATGTTTCACTAAGAAAGCAACCACAAATTAAATTTCTTAATATATATATATATATAAAACAAGACAAAGAAAGTGACACTTACGTGTAGATACATCAGGAAGAACAGCCAGACTTTTCACTTTCATAATATGAGGCAGCTGCCTCACATGACCAGTGATATCTACTCCTATGCCAGAATTTGACAGGCATAGCAAATATAAATCTCCATGTGAATCCAAGATCACAAACATCCTCCGGGACAGAGCCTGAATGGAAATAGCTTTTACAGACATGGATACCTTTGCCATGGATTTGGTTTCAACTTCATTTTCCTTCAACGCCACAAAACATGCACATGCATTGCTGTCATCCTGTTTGAATTTAACATTTGTCTGCTTCACTGAAAGTAAACAAAACATAGATTAGATAATATACTGAAGAGCATCGGAAACAATTTAAAATTATACACAGCATTAAGTAACCAGATCATAAGATGGCTGTTTGACCCTTCAGGGGTGTTTGAATGGTGTTTTGCGCGTTTAGACGCCCTTCAAATTGTTTTTTGGTGTGTGTATTTTTTTTTGTGGGGGGTTGTCGAGTTTCGTGGCACTCATTAAATTCTTATTTCTGAAAACTAGTGCCACAGGATGATGTCCGCAGCATTGTTTAAAGTTCCATGAGGCTAAAGCAAAGGAGTTTATTATGTTAGCTCTAACCACAGACAATCCAACAGCAACAAGTCCAGTTATGGAGAAAAGCATAAGGAAGCATAAAAGCCTGTTTGCAACATCAATAGTCCTGAATGGAAAAAGAACAATCAACATTCCAACAAGAGGAAAAAAGGCATTAACAATCAAAGTATCCACCCCTGGAAACAATGAAGAGAAAATGGATCCAATACCATTATACCAGAACCACAAGCCACCAGCAATGAAAAAACACAAAATGGTGTAAACCAGACCAACATATGCACCAAAACAACTTCTCAATGACTTTGTTGCAAGGCTTGTAAAGCTCACCTCTTCAATCCCATCTTCTTCCATGGTGGCAGAAAAGCTAAGTTCTTCTACAAGAATGATTGAAGATATTACATAGAGCCAGGAGAGGAGAATTATGATTGTTGAAAGAAATGGGCCAGATTTAATTGTCAAAGCAGTTAAATCCAGGAGTCCAGTATGTAGCTTAGTAGGTCCAACAATGTCAGAAACAAACTCATACTCGAAGTTAAACCTACTTAACTTTTTAGATGGGTCCCACAATGATGGACCTCATCAACTAGTGAATCCTATTTAAATTTTATTTTAATTCGGTCTTGGGATGAGGAACATCCAATTAGATTTTCAGAACAGTGCCCCGGACACCACCCTGCGGCACCGGTTTTCAGAAAAAAAAAAAAAATTAACAAGTGTCCTGGATGGGTGTACGCGGCATTCATTAAAAAAATAAAAAATAAAATATTAAAGTTGTTACTTGGGGGCAGGGTGCGGAACTCAACGCCCCCACTGGAAAATAGTTCGAAGTGCATACCAAACGTGCAAAAATACCATTCAAACACCCTTAAATGGTCAAAAAGCCATCATAAGATCCCTACAGATCTACCTGTAGAAAATTACAGGGAGATAGTAAAATTAGATGTCTACTCTACAAGCTAGTGGTTCCATTTGTAAGACAAGAAATTCAAAATACAGTCAGCAGTTAAAGATCTGTTCTTAATATTTAGTTATTTACCATCTAAAACAGCTTGATATTAAACAAAAGAACATAGCATTGCAGCCATATCCCAGAAAAAATAAATTACTAAAAAATTTGTAAGCAGAAAATTACATATAAAAATGTAAATTTAGCCAAAGTAAGATATTTCACTACGAGTAAGCCAAAAAAACGCCATGCTTTAATACATTTAGGCTGGTGGTATCAATGATCATATTGCATTAATTATTGTTAGGCAACGACAGGGATGATAAAAGAACAGAGGTCAATACCCTTTAGATTCCATGATTGAAAAATGCCACATGTTTCAAATATGTAGTTGCTAAATTCTAAAACTGCATTACAGTTTGCAGTAAATTACTCATTGATTTATGCATAACCTAAAAGGTACAGTTAAATGGTCTTAGTCAAAGAGCTGAGAAATTGTCCAGCAAATGAAGGAACTAATACCAACTAATGAATTCACAACTGGGTAACCACTGGAAGCCCTCTTTAAGTTTGAACTAACTCAACTCTTTGTGCTACATATGCTATAGAGGGCCCATTTCAATGGTCTTTTCACAAAGGTACTTCTTTTCAGCAGACATTTTACAAGCAGAACTATTTTGAGTTTGAATAGAGTATGAAATGCATTTTCTCCGTTGTTCAACAAAGTTGTTAGAGAAGAGTGCCATTATTTTGTTTCCAATCAATCATTGGAATTTGGAAATATATGCAGAGTGCTTAAATGTCTTATTGCAAAGGACTAATAGCTGATTATATAGGTGAATATAATGATAGCTTTCTTAAGAATCAGCTAATGTCATTGTCAATCACTAGGGTTAGCTAAACATTCAGCTGCTCCATCTTTTCCGGGATAAAGTGGTCTTCTTAACCTCCTTATGGTGATGTCTGTTTAAGAGAGGTTTCTTGGTTGGACATTCAGAGAGACTGGCAAGCTAAACCCTTTTGTTGGTACAAAAAAGTTTAGAGGTAGAGGAAGGGAGGGTACCCTGTTCACATGCCTCCATGAGGACTAGCAAGTTTCACTTAATCTAAACAAATAATCATGATTGTTTTCTACACTTGAAGATTTGCATAAACATATTCCTTGCTCAAAGGACATAACTCCACAAGTTGTCCTCACTTTCCAAAAATTTGGAATGTTTATGTATTCTTTCCTCTCTCAATCCATGATAGTTAAAGCTAATTATAAGTTTAATTAGAGGGAAATAAATTACAAATGTAATCAACACATAGCATCATATCAAATACCAAATGTACCATATTCAAAACCAATAAATAAAAACCCCATTTACTTTTCTCCCATTGTTACAGAACAAAATTCTGCCAAGGACGTAAGTTACTAAAATCAAAAATTGGTTACAATACAGTACCATAAAAATAAAAAAAATAAAAGTTAATGCAAGTACCTACCAACAACACCGTGTCTTTCAATTTTCCCCTCCAAATCACCATTGCAGGTTACCTCCACAACCCCTTCACCACCATAACGTTTCCCTCCTCGATCTCTGCCTCCATGCCTCCCATGATTATCACGACCAACAACAACACCATTTGGCAGTTGCTTCAAATTCGAATTCGAATTCCTCACTCTCTTAACCACCCTTCCTTTCACGAGCCGCCGCAGACCGAAAACCCTAACCCCATTTTCTTCCCCAAGAAGCAAGAACCCAAACGAAATGCTAACGGACCAAACCGGCCTCGAACACTCAATCACAGCACACCTTATCAATTTCACCCTCAAACCACCACCATCATCACCATTATCATCATCATCACACATCTTCACGGCGAAGACCCACACCTTGGAGCTCGAAACGGAGTACATGGCGAAGTAATTAACGGAGCCAGCGAGCTTGATCGAAACCCCATGCTTGGAATCGATCAAGACCCCCAATTTCGGTTCAAATCGAAAACCCTTATTGTTGGAGCAGAGAACGTTTTGCACTCTGGCGAAAGCGTTGTTTTTCTTGTGCAGAATGTAGAACCGGAGCAGAATCTGCGAACCGGAGCGGTGGGGTGCGGAAACGATGAATAACACCGATGGGGTGGAATTAGGGTTTGTGTGGGATTGTTGTAGGAGGAGGAAGGTGGAGGAAGATGAAGGAGAAGGGATTAGGGTTTGTGGGGTATGAAGGGAAAGAGAAGAGGAAGAAGAAGAAGAAGGAGAGAGAGGGGAAAAAGAAGGGTAGAGAGAGAGTGAAGAATCAGAATGAGTTAGGGCAAGAGATAGAGAATTGGGTTCAAAAAGAATAGAGCATGTGTTTGAAGGAGGAGATGAGAGAGAACAAGGGTTTGGGAGAGTTACCTTTGAAGCTTGGACAAGAACCATTACAGTTTTAAGAGAAGGGGATTGGTACCCTACACGAACTTTGAAACCAGTGACTACTGGGTTTGTTGTTGTTGTTTATGACTTAGAAGAAGAAGAAGAAGAATGAGGAAGAAAGAAAAGGCATTGATTTGGTCTTTGGTTGGTTGAATTTTTTGGTTTTGATTTATTTATGCATTGTTAATGGTAATTGAGAGATCCAAGGATGGTTTTATTTTAATGGTTATTCAAAGTAAACCAATAAGAAGCTAATGAAGGAAACCTTTGTAGTTTTTACAATTGTACTAGTATTTTTGAAATTTTGATTGAAGCAAAGTTTGGAGTTCATCTAAGAAATCAGAAAATTTTACTGTATATATTCTTCATGATTCTCAAGAATAAATATGTTTAGAGTAGTATCTTGTTTTCTTTTTCTTTTAACACAAATTTTGTGTTTTCATATTCATTCGATATGAATGTTGAAAAGAAGCAATATTTGATAAAAGATAAAAAACAAAGTGATTATCTCTGCAATCCAAAGTGATTATCTCTGCAATCTTTTATTATTATTATTATTATTATTATTATTATTATTCATTGCTTTATCAAATACTTGATTTATGTGCTTGGTTATGTAAAATCCGCTTTTATTAAATCTTTAGTTTTTTTTTTTTGTAAACATATCTTTAGGTTTTTATACCTACGATGAATCGTCACTTTAAAAAATTTAACCAAACACTTTCGACACTCATCAGTATTTCAACACGCCTCGCAAAACTCAAAAAAATTTAAAAATTGCGTTGCGTCTCATTTTTAATTGTAATTATTAGAATTACGACTATCATTTTATTGAATTTAATAAAAATATTTGTGGTATTTTATATTTTTTACAAAATTAATGGATACGATAAATTTAACCTTATTTTTTATTAAATTATTGAATATTAAATATAATATATATTATATAAATTAAAAATATTAATTAATATCAAAATGAGTTATAATATGTCAAAATCTTACCTTTTTAAAAATTACCCGAAATGTCATTTCATGTCGCGATGCAACATAGTTCTACACTTGCTATGATTATCTCCTTCTTCTTTTTTGGATACGATCCCCTTCTTCTTCTTCTTTTTTAATTTTCTGTTTCTTTAACTGAATAAGTAGTGGAAAAGAATTATTTTAAATGATATACGTAGACTCCATTTAGGATTTCGTTTTTGCCAATATGTCTTTTTTTTGGTAAACTGTCAATATGTCTTAAATAATAATATAATTCAATTCGTCTGTGTGTTTTTTAGTACAACAAGTTCATGGAAGTTAAAAATTAAAAAATTAAAAAGGAAAATACCAACAGATAAAAAATTGAAAAATAAGAAATACAAAGGGAGCACCGAATTAGATGGTCCATATGTCTTAAAAGTTTTTCTCGTTAATGACACTTCCCTCGAGGTGAGTATATTTAAGAAGAGGAGAATGTTATTAAATAGGGTTTTATGTTTCTATCTTCTACACATTTACATAAAAGTGTGTGAAGTCTATTTTGTTTTCTTTTCTTTTTTTCTCATATGGCCCTATAGGGATCTCATATACTTTTATGTATATGTAAAATATGAAATTATCTCCTACAACATAAAATCCTATAAAATAACAATACACTATGATATAGTCGCATTTAACACATTACCATATATTATACAATTCATCAACTACAACATTCTCACAATATATGCATCAATTATAGGTAGGGTAATAATTTTAAACACGACCGCTAACATGACACAAAAAATTCGTGTTCGGATCAACTCATTTTTAGTTTTGTGTGGCATTCATGCTGGTAAAATTAGACATAAAAATTCATGTCATGTCACATGTCAACTCATGAAACCAAAATTGACTCGTTTTAATTTTCTTAAATGTTATTTGTATAGTGTTGTAAACAGGTTATTCGAGTATTATTGTATCATATCATAAACAGATTATTCCTATATTATTGTATCATGTCAACCTGCATAATAATCAACAAACTTTGAAGTTAACAGATCATTCGTGTTATATTGTGTTGTGTTAACGCGCAACATAAACGACACATTTTGAGATTGAAAATTATTCGTATGATATCATATCAAACCTCAAAATAAACAAATCATTCATATAAAAGATTAAATTGTGGTGTGGAATTGCCAACCATAACTATTTACATTTAGTGAGTCATAAAGAAGAGAAAAAGTTAGGGTGGTCCTCAACCACATGCTCCTTGTCCAAATGTGAATTTTTTTTTTCCACTCTACTTTTTTTTCTTATATTTCCATTCATGTCCGTACAAATTTTCCACAATTAGTAAAAGAAGCACCCAAAGAAGATGGTCCAGTCCACCAAAAATCCTCTCCATAAAGAAAGGTCCAACAAGGCAAAGACAATCTTTAGAAATTCACAAGACCTTATACAAAATGAAATTTATTTGATTCAATAAGCTCAACAATAGCTCTACAATAATGCCTCGTGCAACACTTTCTTGGAAACATGGTAGACCACCACTAACTACACTAACACAAGCACATGCCCCTTTAAACATAGAAAATTCCCATTTCTCCACCACTACAAAACCCAACATCATTTTCATTATTCAACAAGAAAAACTTCTAAACCCACAACTACATAATAAAGGTCAAATTGTAAAATTGTTGCAAAGGAAGCATTCCTACAAACATAGTAAGTCAATAATGAAAAAAAAGAAAAAGATAGTCCTCATTCAGTGAAACCAGCAATAACAGCATGGGGCTCACAGGCCTTAGCAGCTGGGCTGGGCTCAACACTTGGGCTGGGCTCAACAGGATTGGCAAGAAGCTCCTTAGGCAAGTCCTTGATACCTTTGAGATAAAATGTGTAAAAAAGCTTAAAAGGAAACACAATCTGATGCAACTTGACTTGACCATACACCCCTTCAAAGATGCCAGATCCACCAGTCACAGCAAGATACGTGTCTTCATAGGTCAAGTATGAACCTTGCACTGAAATGTGACCATAGTCTCCAAAGTAGAAACTGTAGATAGCCTCATACCTATCTCCTTTCTTCTCTGCTTTGTTTTGGATCAAAACACAAATACCAGCTGTTATCCCCACCCGCTTTTGCAAGCATCCAGTGTACAACTGCATGATCAACAACCAAAAAATATCACACAAAAAATTGAAACAAATGGATCATTTTTTATATGTAAATTTCACTTGAAAATCTTATGAGTGATGTCCATGTCTTTATTTATAGATATTCACAAATGTTCATAGGGTCACTACTAAATCATAGTAACAAGAGATATATATTGAACATGGAAAACATGAATATCTTCTTACCTTCAAACCCAAGATTGGAACTTGTAATAGAATTAGGTAAAGGGGAGAAGATTAAGACAAAAAAAGTTTATGCTTTTGCTACTAATAAAAGTACATAGAAAAAAAAATGAACAAAAGCCTTGAATGTAAGCATTTGAACAAAAACCACAGAGTAACTTGCCTTGTTGCTGAAGGGGACAAGATCACCAAGGGAATTGACAGTTTTCTGGCTCAAACGAAGGTAAGCAGGGCTTCCACGATCTCGCTCATTGATTTCATAGACACTTAGTTCTTGGACTTTGGCTGCAAGATCAAGCAGAGAAACCAAGAGGGTCAACAAAGAATCAAGAAAATCCCACTAATCTTAAACAGAAAAAGATGTGGGTAGAGAGAACAAGGTTGAAAATTTTGTTACCTGAGTCAGATGGTTCAGCCTGGCTTCTGCAAGTGAAGGACTTGTTAGGCACTGACATATAAGAGTGTGGTGATGAAGTGGTGTTTAGCTTGAGAGTTCTAGTGGGAAATAGGTTTGATGAAGTGAAAGGCAAAAGAGATGTGGTAGATGAAGTGGTGAGTGATGATCTTGGTGTAGCAGATTTCACAGAGAAAGAAGAGAAAGATCTCAAAGCAAAGGTTGATGAAGCCATGATTGTTAAGGAACTAGTTTAGGAAGATAAAAAAAAAACGGTGAAGGATTGGTATGAAAAAGTTAAGTGTAGCACTAGCGAAAGGTGCTATATATAGAGAAATAGACAGAGAGAAAGGGACAGAGAAAATGTTCAACTATATTATGGACTATGTTCTTTAGTGGGATTGTAGGTGGACGGTGTGGTGAGTCTTAATGTGTGTGAATCGAAATGTGAATCATGTTGTGAAAAAAAGGAAATATGAGTGTGGAATGTGAAGAATGCAAAGAAACAATGTTCAAGGTTGTCTCACTGGTCAATCATGAAGCGGTGGACGGTCTAATAAGTGTTTTCTTTAAATTCTTCTGTGTGTTCCGTGAACTTCGCTTTACACTTATTTAATAACTTAAAAAAATTAGAGACATATAAACGTGACTTAATAATAAGGAGGTTTGTTTTTTATGCAATTACTGTAGATAAATTATCTGCAGTAAGTTCAATACGACGTCATTTTCAGACAGAAATCATGATGTTTTTATAATTTAATTTATTTCAAGGTTATAATAGTCTTTATATTTATAATTTTTTAAGATTTCAATACCAAAATGACATTATTTTGGGAATAAATACAGATACCTTATCTGCATTAATTGTAGAAATATTTTTCCCTAATAAGTCGTACACAAAAATATTTCTGCGGTTACTGTAGATAAGTTATCTGCATTTATTTCCAAAACGATGTCATTTTGAGATTGAAATATTAAACAATTATAATTATAAAGACTATAATAACTCTGAAATAAATTAAAGTTACAAAAACACTATGATTTCTGTTCAAAATAATGTCGTATTGAGTTTATTGCAGATAACTTATCTACAATAACGACAGAAAAACAAATCATAAATAATATATTGGAAAAAGTGCTTACGAATGTATTAATAACATTCTTCAATTTTTAATAATTTTTATGTTATAGAAAATAAATTTATTTCCTATGTACATAAAAATATGTGCTATCCATATTTTTTCTTTTTTATCTTTTTCTCGTATGAATCCACACACTTTTAAAATTTTTATTTTATAAGATTTTAAAATCTTACTCTATATTTTGATATTTATGATCGTTTTGTTTGACTGCAATTTTAAAATATACAATTCGGATGTCACTGTCTAATGTGGCGCACGCGCACTCTCTTCCACCGACAATGCCAATTTAGTTCATTTCTGATTTCATAAAAGAGCAAAAAGATAGTTCATAGTTGTATTTGTATACAAATTACAAAGGTTATGTAAGTGCTTTATTTTTTAAAGAAAATGCAACGCTTTAGAATATTACTTAATAGTTATCCTTAAATGTAAAACAATGTGTAAATTGCCTGGAAAATATATTAATTTTGTATGCTAAAATGATAAGGAAGATATGGACCACCCTCTGTCATCATCTTTTATTTTATGGGTGATCAGAAAGTAAAGTGCTTATTCTATAAAAAAAATTTGAAATTTTATTTCTCATGTGACGTGAAACAGAATTGTCTCATACACTTGTAAAAAATAGGTGAAATTCACATATTTTCTTTCTCTTTCTTCTCCTTAGTGAATCTCATTCACATTTTTGTATGTTGCATAAGACAAAATTGTTTCTAATAACATCATAACATATTTCCCAAAAAATTTATTCTAAAATATGAGGGTTTTTTTTTACTCTTCTTATGCAAAATTCAATATATTATCGTTTTAATTCTCTTAACAAACTATTTATCAATTTAATATGAATGAAACATGAGAAGAGTGTGTGTTTAAGTCATACATCACCCATGCATAACTTGTGCAAAAGTCAAAATACTCCTATCATGTGTCCCACTATACAAAATGCGGATAGGATACAAGCGCGATTTAAATGCGCACTATCAGAATGCGCGTCTAGCATTGCATTGATTTTTACACAAAAAATGCATAAAGGTGATTCGCAACTTAAACATACATATTTTCCATACGTGTTTCACTCGCGCTACATTGATAAATAATTTGTCTGTTTTTTCGGAGGAAAAATATGAACTTATGTCCTTTTTCAAAAAGACACAAACCCTTACTACTTGTATACCACTCCATGGAAGTTCAGTTTTCGTGATTATCAAATTGAAAAGATGTCATTGCATCTTTTTCTTTTTTCTTTTTTGATGGAGAATACAATTTAAACTCCTAGCGACTTCAATTGGTGGATAAGCAAATAGCACAAGATTATTTTGTTAAGGGCCAACTTTTTGAAACAAAGTCTAAAGTTCAATGATTGCGTCGGGATCAAAGTACATACATTTTTCATTCAGAGAGCGTTTGGTAAAAGATAAAAAAAAAATTACCACAAGAATATAATTCCTAGAAAAAAGGTGGAAAAATAATTTTGATGAAAAGTTTTAAAAAAATTATTTGATTGAACAAAATATTACTGAGAAAAAACATGTACGTTGGAAGTTGCATTCTTACACAGTGCATATGTTGCTTTTTTACATACGATTGTTAATGCTTGGGCAAAAGCTTTTGATGGGTAAACTTTTTTATTTCTTCTACAAACAGAGACAATCGGCCACACTCAGTTGACTGAGAAATTTTACAAATGTCCCAAACCAAACACCACCCAAAGGTATGCAAAAATCTAGTAATCCTGCTTGAAGGATAATGAAATTGTTTGGCATTGTTAACACACCTATTCCGGTGTGGAGAGAGAGAGAGAGAGAGAACAATTTTTTATTTTTTTTTAAATCATTTTGCTCAATCAAAAAAAAAATATATATATATATATATGTCCTAAGCCCGTTGGCATTTAAATTAACCACCTTATTACATGGACTAAATGGAATATCTACTAAAAAGCTCAAATAAAGAAAACAAACTAAGGAGCCAAAATTATTTAGGGCCCATTTGCATGTGCTTTTTTAAGGAAAAGAATTACTTTTTTAATTAAAAAATACGTTCAAAAAGTTTATAATAATTAGACATGTTTTTCGAAAAGAAAAAAAAAAAACCCAAAAAAAAGTTGTTCAGAGCTTTTCCACAAGCTAAAAATATTAGCTTCTGAAAAACAATTAAAAAAAACAATTTCGAAGAAGAATATATCATAAAAGCACTTTTTAAGAAGCATAAACAAAATGGACCTTAGCACCTACCAGGAATATTTATAACAAGATAAAAGTGATGATAGAAATGAAGATGAGAAAGACAAATAGGGAATCTTCTTAAATAACTATTTAGAGTCAATAAAAAAGTTGGAATTATATGAGTCAACTGTTTTAAATAGTTCCAATCAATCATCCAACAATCTTAGATCCAAAGAGCATATCAATAAACTTGCATGTCATTAAATAAAAAACACAAAATGTAAAGTTCATATAATCAAAGACATTCACTGCAACCTTGAGAGGAGAGAGGAGGAAAATGCAGAACCTGAATGCATCTATTTATTCATTACACATCAACCTTCGAAATTTCAGAGTTAGAAACATGATGATCCATTTTCGGTGGTTTCTCTTATGAGCATGGCAATGAAAATAACAAGTTAGCAATAATTATAACAGAAACATGGACAACAGAAACATGAATTTCAGAGCCAGATTTAGATAGGTGAATAGCTTGACAAAAACAAATTTACATAGAAAATGATGAAAATAACTTAATTGTGTAGATAATGTCAAAATAACTAAGTCAAATAATATTTTAAAAATATCCAAATGTCTTGAACTAATTCTAATGTCATATACTAAATAAAAAAGGACAAAATTCGGTGCACAAGGCTTCCCGACTAACGAGGATAGGGGCAAAGTCGATTGTATGTTGTGTTACCCTTGTCTTTTTACAAAGAGATTGTTTCTTAAACTCGAACTCATGATCTTCTAGTTACAAGAAGCAATCTTACCGCTGCTCTAAGGTTCGCCCTCTAATTATCAGTGGAGATACACCAAGCCACCTTAATCATATTGAGATGACAGATATCCCCCACCATCCAAGCTGCAAAACCACTGCATTCCTACCCTATAAACCTAAAAAGGAATAAAACTAGGCAGGCAATAAGGCTGGCAAAATTCGAATAGCAACATCCTTAAAGCAATCATGAACATAACACCACCAAAAAAACAGAATAGAAAATAAAACAGAACAAAACAAAAGACAAGAAACACAACTCTATACCATATCAAAGTAGTGTTTTGTCTTTTACATCACAGCATTGTACGCAAGGGAATATTATTTATTATCTTTATATCTCTTTTCTTCCTTCCCTAATTATAATCCTACAATTTCAAAAATGCCTTAATAAGATGAGAAATAACTATGACATCAAAGGAGAACCTGACAACCAGCAACAGCCACGTAGGAAGAAAGAACCTGATTATCCACTTTCGAACCAGCCAAGTCACTCTAAGCCAAGTAAACCTTCAAGCAAGGTATACCCTCAAAGTACTTCCGAAAAAATATTCAATAAAAGGTATCACTATCCTCTTCCAGGAAGAGAACCATGTCGGTGAGAGACCAATCATGACCAGATTTAAAAACAACAGACTTAGAAACATCAACCACTAAAGTGAATAAATAAGAAACATGTTGACGGGCATCATTTATTGAATAGAGATTAATAAATGTATTCCAAGACAACAGGGACTGATTTGTTTTAGTTTAATTTATTTTGCGTTCGTGAGAGTTTGGCATTATAACTTATGAAGTAATTCACCATGGAAAAAAAAATGGTAACAGCCATAAAAGAACAAATGAGATAATTAGATAGATATAGTAGATCACAAATAACAATAGCGATTTTTTGAGTCTCCTCAACCGGTTCATCTTTCAGATTAGTCCAGTTCGAGCACTGTCGGACCCTATATAAGGGGCGGCTCTCTCAAGACCATTTTTTTCCATTCCCAGGCTCGAACTCAAAATCTTTGGTTAAGGGATACAAGTTCCTTATCACTTGTGCCAATGACTCCTTAAAATAAATTAATCTAGCTTTCTTAACCTTAGAGTTGAGCTGCAAGAGGAATCAGGACGGATTGAAAGAAAAAATTTTAGAATGCAGAAATTCTGAGTCTAAGCACCGAATGTTGTGTATATATCTTAACATTTTTTGACACGGAACATTGGTATCAAGATTTCAAGTCCCAAAATAAAGTCCTGACAGGATGAAATCTAGCTAAGGAAAGAATACATCTTCATGTCGGACAAATGTATATGATATGCCTTAAGCATTTTACGCTCTCCTCTTGAAAATCAAAAGCTATAAAAAAAACAGCATTTTAAACAAACTGTTAGGAACCAAGAACACAGACAGAAAAATAACCTCAAACAATTAGAGAGGCTCTGAATTCTGTCCCAAAGTCCAAGGTTTCCAAAGATGCCTCCTCTCACTTGCCAACTCTCATTTATCCCCTGCCTCTAACCGATTCATCCTCAACAACTTGAGGGATACTCCACTCTAACTTTTTTTTTTTGGGTTGACTCAGCAGGGGTAAGTGATCCCTGTGCCACTTCCTTGTGTACACCCTTAATTCTTAAAGGTGGTGTTTTATCACAAACTTATTAGGTTATGCAAGTGAAGACAAAAGATGCTCGCTTATGTTCTTCCGACGACCAAACTTCAAAGCAAATAATCATGAAATTTATTACATGTCACACCCTTAATTTTACCAAATACATAAGTTTCTTTCTATTGGAATTCATAAATAAGGACAGAAAGCAAGTGATCAATCACATAAATCCCACAAGAATCATCCAGTAGTTAATATATCCCCCTGCTGATGTCATTACCTTCTGCTTACTGTCAGCAAGATTAAATGACAGAAGTTTCACTGTTTTTATTCAAAACTCTAGGAAAACCATACCCAGAGAAGACTATGTGTGCTTTCTCTCTATAGATACTGCAGAAAATAAATCATTTTATTTTCTTTAGAGTACACTTGATTCTTAGGGATGCAGTAATGAGATCTAATACTTAAATTTAAAAAAAAAAATTGGCATTCAGATCACATTGGCCAGTACATGTTAAAGAACGCTTCAGCAAGCTCTGCCTGACTACACAAGGAAGCATTAGACAAATAAGGAAAAGAAAAAGACCGCGATCCTAATAGCAAAGCCACAAGATGCCCAAGAAATGTGGTGAATCACAAGCTACCTAACCTCGTTGGGTTAAAGTCAGGGTTTTCATCAAGGAAATATAGGGAAAAAATCCAGTGAACCCTGATGGGTGGGTGGCTGGTGGACATCATAGTGATGTAGGAAAATAAAAATTAATAGTAATAAGAAAGATCACTGAAAAAAACGTACCTGGGGACATCAAAGTGAACTGGTTCGTGGGAAAAAGTACACACCATAAGCTTTGAGTTGCAGCATCAGGATGACACCCAAATCATAGAGGTTTGTAAGAATGAAAGTATTTAAATATTAAGTCAGGCTGCTTACATATTGTTTCTTATCACCCCTCATCCCATCCCTAAATCATAGCATTAAATAGTCTGATCAAATAGTAGAATACTATTTGGTGTGCACAAAAGACACTTGATATAACAGGGAAGTATAACATATACTATCAGGTCCAGTATTACACAACAATTTAAACAAAACAAGACTAATAATATTCCGAAGACAGGAAGTGAAGTGACTAAAAAAGAAAATAGAAAGAGAGAGAGAGAGAGTGAAGAATAAGACATGGAGATGCAATGGATGAGACGTATGAGATAAGCCCACTTCTTCTGCCACAAAATATTAGTTTGATATCAAGCTCTCGTTTTCTTTTTCACCTTTTATTTTTTTTCTTTTCCTTTTGGCAAGTTGAAAACTTGGAATAAATGTAAAACAAGACAATAGACTAGTAAAATATCAAGAAGATATCAACAACCAGGGATGGAGCTAAAAAATTTCGCATGAGGATCAAAGGGAACAGACAGATGACCCTTTGTTTTGGGGAGCCCAACTCAACTTCAGAAAAAATATTACATGAAAATTTGTTGTTTTGAAAATTTTGGAGGTTGCGGGGGGCGGTGTGGTGTGCATTGTCCCTGTTAACATACGCTACACAACAATCAAGCTTTCTTTTAAGGACACCATTGGGCTTCATTTCCAATTAAATCATTTAGAGTAATGTCTTTTTTAGTGGTTTCTTCTAAAGTTTTCCTTGTTCTTCTTCTAACCCTTTTAACCGGAATATCTTCCATTTGATATGATACATCTTTTCCATTTGAGCCTCTATTGGCCTTCTTCTAACATGACCAAACCACTTTAGGCGCTTCTATGTCATCATTAAAACATCAAAAGAGATCATCACAAAGAGATCATTTTTCTCATTACTGGCAATCAGTTCTTGGATTGAAATAGTACATACCTGAATACCAGGAAAAAATTGGAGAAGCGAATATCATTTGCCGAACCTCTCTGAATCAAGAGTTACTAATCAGCAAACATCGAATGACACCATGGCATCATGTGACACAAAAGCCAGCTACTTTTTCATTTTTCAATCAAGCTTGAGTACCTTCTTAATAATTCCAAAGACAAATCTTTTTTATTTTTCTTCTCGAGACGCTTCCTTATCTTCATGAACACAGAAAAATTAGGTTTAAGACCTTTGTCCATCATCTCATGAAGAATATTCTGGGCAAGTAGCACATTTCCTTTCTTCAAATGAAGAGTAGCAAGTAAGCTGTAGTTTGCATTGCTGGAATAGCTCTGCTTAACAGCAGAATCAACAACATACTTATGTGCTTCCTCATATTCTCCTGATTCAAAATAAGACTTAATTACCACGGCATGAGTTGAAATACAAGGTTCAATACCCTTCAAAGTCATTTTATCAAGAAACTTCAAAGCTAAACCAAACTGCCGTTGTTTACATAGTAAGTTAACAAGAATATCAAAGGTACTTGCATCGGGTAAACCATAGTCTTTTTCCATAATTTCGAGCACTTGACAAGCTTCATCAAATTTACCACTCTTGCATAGACAACTGACCAACAAATTATAAGTCGTTCTGTTTGGTTCACAACCACTTCTCTTCATCTCCTTTACCAAATCTACTGCTCTTTCATAATCACCTCTCTTGCACATTGTCCTCATCAAGACATTATAATGATTCACCTTCCTCCTATCTGTTCCAATAAAAAATTCAGCTATCTCAAAAGAACCCTGAACACTGAACATCTCTATCAACAACTGAACTCCAGAACTTTGACATACCCCACCAACCTCATTGAGCACATCCATAATTTTCCTAACACATTCCATACTAGAAGCCTTGTCAAAACCTAAAACCATCAAGAACCCAAATGCATTCCTTTTCAAATGCATCCCTTTATGGTTAAATTCAGTCAAAATGGGAACCATTGCCTCATAATCTCCCAATAACCCACAATTATTAACAACCAAACCACCTATGTCTGGATCACAACAAAGCTCAGGATGTGAACCTTTAAGCCAATCAAAGAACAACAATGCTGACACTCTCTCACTTGCTAATTTATGAAAAATTTCAAAAATTGATGCCATAGACAAAGACACATTCATCCTATCCAACTTTGACCCCAAATCATTCACACCCTCACGAATCAATGCAATGATCTCAGAAACTTGCTTCGAAGTAGCATACGGTCTACCCTTGTAAGAAGAATAAGGATACGAGCAAAAAGACCTACGGGTATGCAATTGCAAACCAAGCTTCAAGCACGAGTACCCATAATCAAAATCAGAGTATTTAGTTGAAGAACTCGCAAATGGGTGTTTGGGGGAGTGAAATGATGAACACCCAATTGAGAAAAGCAAGGAACTTGGTGAGTGGAAAAGGGTGAAGAAGGGTGTGGTTGAAGGTAGGGTATTGGAGAAGAAGTGAGAGAAGAGAAAGGTGGAACAACAAGAGTGAGGAATTGAGAAGAACCTGAGGATGTTGCAGAGGTTTCGAAATCCCATAGGAGAAATCGAAGGTAACAACTATGAGTATGACAACGTTGGAATTGAGAAGAACCTGTGTCTGCTTGTTTTTTGTTTTTGTTTTGGTCAAAGTTGGGTTTTGTTGTTTTGGATCAATGCTTAATTCTCTGATTGGGCCAATTACTTGGAGAACAGTGGGCTCAAAGCATTAGATTGATGACTCTATTTTCTTCATATTCAGAGTGTATTTCAACTATCTTTGGCCTTCTTAGGCATCTACTTGGATTCACTTAAAAAAATAAAAAAAATCAAAACCCCCAATTATTTTGCTTTGAATAATTTACTTCTTTATGATTTTTTTTATCACTTATGCCTCTATGGTTATCTAGTTCTCCACCAAAACTCATCCTTAACACCGAAGAAACTTAACTAATCTGCTTATTTTACTTTTCTTAGAAGAAGAAAATAGACGGACGACAGGAAATAAGAAAAAAATAGAACAAAAATAAGACCTATATGTTAAAAGCATACAACATTTATAGAAAAAAATGAATTTAGAAGAAAAAAAGATTAAATATGTCTAAATCAAATATAAGAAAATAGACCGAGAAAAAAAAGAAAAAAAGAAAACGAAAATGTTGAAATCTTACAACAAAGACAAAAAAGATCAAAAGTAAAAAAAAAAAAATGAAAATAGTCTTAATAAAAAATAAAGAGAAGAAAAAAATCAGCAAGTTTCCAACATATTTTATCTTATTTTTATTTAATTTTTTTTGTTCTCGGTTTATTTTTATTTTTTTGATTTAGATATTTTGGATTTTTTTCTTGTATTTTCTTTTTTTTGGCTCTTAATATTTTCTATCACTATTAAAGGACATAGAAAAAAATAAGACAAAAAAAAAAAATTAGTTTTGGAAGTTTCTACCATATTTGACCTTATTTTTTCTTTTATTTTTTTTTCACTTAGTCTATTTTCTTTTTATAAGAAGCGTCAAATAAGACAGATATGTTAAATTTCTAATGGTGTTAAAGATTAGTTTAGATGGAAAAAATAATAGGACAATAAGTGATTAAAAAAAATATTGCGTATGTGCGTTAGTTGTGGTTTGAGTTCTTTAAAGTTTTTCTTTTTCAGAAATAATATGTAATTTTGTAAATTTTCATTGAGGTTGATGGTCTTTTATGAAATTACAAAAAAGTGTCTTTTCTTAAACTATATTTTAAGGGAAATTGAATCTGCAGTTACTGCAGATTATTATCTACAGTTAGGGGTGCTAAACAAATCAGGAGTCTTTGCCTCGACTCGTGAAGACCTGAGCTTACATGTCTAAAATTAGTTGTTGGCACCAGACTTGAACTTGTATAAAAGCTCGTTTAATAAAAAAGGTCTCACGCTTCAATTCAAAAGCTCGGCCTTAGAGCCTCTCAGGCTGGCCTATTATTTTTATTTTTATTTTTATTTTTTATGTTACTTGTAAGAGCCCTCTTTTTCTCCTCAATCCATTTCACCCCATTTTATTGGTTAAACAGAGTTTTTGAGGAATGATTTTGTTCTATATTATTCTGTTTGGATATACATTGAATTTATAAATATCTATGAAATTATTAGTGTCGTTGATTGTATATTCTATTTGGATAAATTTTGTTGTCTTAATTTTTTTAAACAGGCTAACAGACTAAACTAGACTTTTTTTTTTTGTAAATAAGTCAAGCCGCAGGCCGATAATTATATTTATAACAGGTAACAAGAATAACCTGACACATTTAAACACAAATTTAACCTTTTAAGACCAAAACTCGACTTAACGACTTAACACCCTACTTACAGTGCAGATTACAATCTGCAACGTGTGAGATAAAATTAGAATGAGTCCTATCTTAATATATATTTTTCTTTTTGTAAGACACACATCATTTCTCTATCAAGCGTTGCAGATAGTAATATGCAATAAATGATGATTCGATTTTCCCAAATAAAAACATTTATATGAGTAAGCTTGTGCTTATTTGAGGTACTAGTAATTATCATCTAGTAATATTAGTGTCACCAATATCCTTCTTGAGATCTATAAGCAATTTGATTAAATAAAAACATGTACATCAACATATTATATCATATAGTAATGAAATAGCATCCAATATATTACAATATTAATTAAGTAAAATGTTCTTATTTAACAAAATAAATATACGGTAACAAGGTCAATTTTATTTTATTTTTTAAAAAAACTTTTGTTTGGGTGTGGAGGGACCAAGGCCCTTATCAACCCCTATAAGGCTATAATATCCCTAAGAAAGGAGACAACTCAGAAACCATCCAGCAACTTGAAGTACAGTATTTCTTGAATTTCCTCCACTAGTGTATATCATCATCAAGCAACATTGAACTATTTTTTACATGAAAAATAGTATGGCATCCGATTTAAATTTAAACAATATAAATTTCATAAATAAAAATTTACGAAAATACAATATCTCTCTAAATTATATATATATATATTTGTACATTAAAGTATGGGAAAATCGAATCTGCAATTAATGTAGATTACTATCTGCAGCGTCTGATAGAGAAATGATACAGGTCCAAAAATAAATAAATATTAAGGTAGGATCTATTTTAATTTTGCTCAACTGCATATTCGATTTCCCCATAAATATGCAAAAAAAAAAAAAAAATGAATTCATTAACTAAATAAAATAAATAAATATAATGCATGTGTATAAATAGACGTGTCTATCACCAAGCATGTGCATTAGCTTAATGAGATTGTTCTAATTTAATTAGTGATCTCAAATTTAAGTCTTGGATATGTAATTGTGTTAAAAACTTGGTTTGGAGAGTTTTACCGCTAGAAAAATCCTGTATAGCGAGAGAATTGTTATGCAAATTCCGTCGCTAATTTCATCCTCGCTACTACTTTCCCTCGCAATTTTCCTCACAAACGATTTTGCGAGGAAAATTGTGAAGGAAAGTAGTAGCGAAAATAAAATTAACGACGAAATTTTTATAACAATTCTCTTACTATACATGATTTTTCTAGCAGTATAGCTTTTGTAATTCTACCCGATTTGGTTTAAAAGAGCTTTGACACTCTTATATTTTTTTCCCAAGTGATTGATGAACCAAAAATTTCAAAATAAATAAATAGAAATGTCTAGCATGGTTAATTATTTTCATTATCTAACGAGCTATCTTTGGTGAAAAGAGCCCAAATACTACAGGCAATTCGGATTTACTATTTTTCAACACTGTCATAACCGCCACTGCCTCTATTTTGAACACTATCATCACCATCGCCATCTAGTAATGATTGTTTCTGACTTCAAAAAATCACAATAATTAATTTAAATTATCATAATAATAACCCGAATAACCAGTACAGTAATATCCAGTTAAAAAAGCAGTGTAAAATGTGTAATGCAGAACTTTATGCATGGTGTTGTGGATTATTACATGCACTTCTGTTCTTCGGTGGCTTAATAACCAGTAATTTGTCAGAAAACAAAATAGAAACTTTGACATGGTCAATCAACCAGCAATGTACGAATTATGATATTGTTTTTTTTTTTTTCCATATATGATTTGACAGCTATCAGAATAAATCAAGTATACTCTGAATACTTAAGTACGTAGAATAATAACCAGGGTGTATCAACCGTACGTGATGAGGAGGGTTACCGGAATTTGAAGGTTTTTTATCCATGGAACGCAGAATTAGAGAGAGATATTATTAGCTTATTTTTTTTTTACAAATTATTTATTAATTTAATGTGAGTGATACATATATAAAGAGTGTATGCGTTTACATTATGCATCACCTTCGAATGTAACTTGTGTAAAATCAAAATGTATTTGTCATATGTCGCATTACTAGACTCAGATGGGGCATATGCAACTTAAATGCGCAATATCAATACATGCGTCTTTTATTTTGCTAACTTTTGGATAAGTTGTGCATCGAGATAAGTATGACTTAAAGTGCATACTCTCTATTTATGTTACAACGGGACATGAGACATGACATGATACGACACGGTGATACGTTAATTTTAAAAAATTACATATTTTGACACGTTATGATATTAAATAATATTTTTAATTTATATAATATAATTTATATTTAATATATACAACAGTTCATAATAAGTCATATAATCAATCAGATTTATAAATTATTTTTTAATTTTTAGTTAATAAAATAAAATTTAGACCAAAAAATATATGTCGAATACGTGTCGGAGCATTAATTGTGTGTGGAAAAAAGTTGACTGCATGTCTCAAAATATTAACTGTCTGTCAAACACGTTGGTGTCAGGCACACAAATTTTTTTTAAAATCACCTGTCGGTGCTTTCTAGCTCTCTATACATATTTATACGTCTTGCATTTTGTTAACTTTTGAACAACTCACACTTTGAACATGTGTATGACTTAAATTAACATGCATACTTCTCATATATGTTTTTATAACTTTCTTTAGAGACTAACATGCATATGATGCAGTGAATTAAATCACCAATTTCAAAGTAATAATCATGAATCATCATCCATTTGCAATGTTCCAGTGAATCACGGATTCCTATAGCAAAGCATAAATTAAGTATCATGAAATTGAACTGGCTATATTAATGTATCCATTTTAATTGGTGTATGTTAAGTAGTAAAGATAAAAGTGTACAAACGACCATAAAACTACTCAACCAATTTCCCTCGACAAGTACTCCAAACATTATTCCACGAGCCAACTCTCTGGAAAGTGGCATCATCAACATTAATTTTGATATGATAATGTTCTTGTAGTTTGAGTTGAAGGAGGGGTCCGGTGAAAAGCGCCAGAAAGTCTCATGATCTTGAGTTTATAATGATGCCTTTGATCCAATGATACTTGAGTCTGATTGATTCTATACAATCAGACATGATCTCTAAAGGCCCCATGTGATACACGTACACGAAACCAATCATATACACTAAAGCTTATTATACAATATTAATTTGCTAGAAACCAGCCCATTATATTGATTAACTCAAATATTAGTTGGCACCTGTTGACAACCATATACCGGAAAG